TTATCAGAATAATATGTAAAGTAACATTCAGTTATCTAGTGAGTTATCAGAATAATATGTAAAGTAACATTCAGGTATCTAGTGAGTTATCAGAATAATATGTAAAGTAACATTCAGTTATCTAGTGAGTTATCAGAATAATATGTAAAGTAACATTCAGTTATCTAGTGAGTTATCAGAATAATATGTAAAGTAACATTCAGTTATCTAGTGAGTTATCAGAATAATATGTAAAGTAACATCCAGTTATCTAGTGAGATACCAGAATAATAGAAAATGTAACATTGACTTATTAATTTAGTTATACTTATTCTGTATTTAGTTACCAGAATAATATTTAATATAACGTTGACTTTTCTAGCGAGTTATCAGAATAATAATATAAAGTAACATTCACTTATCTAATGAGTTATCAGAATTATAAAGTAACATTCACTTATCTAGTGAGTCTTCTGAATAATCATCCTAGTAACATTATGTTATCTAGTGGGTTATCAGAATAACATATAAAGTAACATTCACTTATCTAGTGAGTTTTCAGAATTCATTCAGATAACCAGTGAATTATCAAAAATATATATAAAATAACATGCAGTTATCTAATGAGTTATCCGAATAATATATAAGGTATCATTATCTTATCTAGTGAGTTATCAGAATAAAATAAAGTAACATTCACTTATCTAATGAGTTTTCAGAAGTCATTCAGTTAACTGGTGAAATATCAAAAATATTCAATATAAAGTAACACTCAGTTATCTAAAGAGTTATCAGAATAATATGTAATTTACCCTTCAACTATCAGAATAATATACAAAATGTAGGTATATAGTCAGTCGAAAGCAGACTGCATTTTTCTCAATTAGAAAGTCAGTTATCACTATAAAATACAGATGATTGTATCTTTAATTTTGAATGTGATATTTTAATATGAGGGAATGAAATGATAAGTGCTTGACATTCAGTAATCTTACTGCTTAAGATTTTGGTTCAATGGTGTGGCTTAAATTGGTTAGAAATTCATCCAGTAGGAACCTTTAAGATCACGTGATGATTTTGTTTTGATAACTTCACAAATGTAGTTGTAGGGGATGTTTATTTGATGGGTCGGTCTGATTTTGAATAAATGTTTTCTTTCTTTTTATTTTCAATAATTCCAAGAAGGTCCAAACAGGCAGACGGACTTTTGAATTCATAAAAGGCAGACGACAAAGGAAACTCTTTGAAAATTCAATACTGAGTTCTTAATATGATTTGAACCATAGACCTTTTGAAAATTATGAAGGTGTAATGATACTAATAGAGTGTATATCAGTTCGAGAATGGTCATTAGATTTATCTCAATATTGATTATGTATTATCATTATTATATCAGACCAGCCTCCGGTATATAGAAATAGTTAAACAAAGCTTTAGACAATAATATATAGTTATCTCTTCTTATCTCTATATTTAACTAACATACACTACTTTCATTTCAGCAACAGCTTGTCTATCAATCCAATACATTCCTGTCACCACACCTCATTATATGACGGCTAAAATTGATAATGTCACACATAAAAATAATGATGACAGATTTCATTACTTCCCTTTGCTGGCTGGAAATCTCTGATCATAAAGGTTGAAAAATATCGCGAGGTTTTCAATTCCGGAGGTGGAGGATATTTTTGATGAAAGTCAGGCGGTGATAGTAATCTTTTATGTTATTTTAAACAATATAATTTGCCAACAGATGTATGCAAGTCATAAATTTGGAGTGTTTATTGTTTTACATGCGGCTAACCTAGTTATTGGTTATTATTTGCCTTTGTTTAATGTCTGCCCCGGGGAGTTCAAGTCTTTACTGCAATTAAAATGATTTTTGTGACTCGTCAATTATGTAATTTTAATGTTTCATTGAATCATAATAATATTGATGAACGTCGATATTTAGTCTATTGAGAAATGGTTTGGTTTTTGCATTACTGTTTTTTTTTTTTTTAATTATTGAACCACTTCCGGAACGAGCAATCCTGTTTAATATACTGCTCTATTACTCGTGGGTAAATTTTAAATTAACGACAATAAGACTGTTGTAGTTGGGATTAGTTAACATAGAAAAACCCTGAATGAATTTATTCCCAAATAAATTGGTATGTTTTGTAAGGAAACTAAATTAGCACATTATTGGCCATGAGACTTCACTGAAATGAAATAAATGAAGCTAACTATATTGCAACAGTGAAGTTTGTCTGATTTGAGATTTTTTCCCAACCATATAACAGGCGCGTTATGCATCAGTGGTGCGATAATCAAAAAGTGCGAAGGTATAATTCCAGACAGCCAGCCTCTTTAAACGATTGAGCTCTCTGGGAGTAATGTCTAGGAGTAGGAGAATATTTCCTAAGCTGAAAACTTGATCGTGTTGATATTATATAAAATAGTTTAGCGAAATGAAATGTAAAGAAATTAATCAGAGCCCAGCTTCCTTCATTAATTAACATCATTAGTAATGTCAGTAATAACTATTATGTCTATAACATTGTTTTAATGAACACAGAAATTAATTTTCTTGTGACCAGGATTAATACATAGCTACCTAACTCCTAATAACTGATTCTATATCATATAAATAGTGATTAATATTTCTAATTATCAGTAGATAGAGGTCGATATCACTATTGAAATGATTGAAAATTGCTGGACAATGTCAGGTCAGTCTATGTCTAAATGATGGTTACAATTTCACAAAACATCTGTGCCCGTATTTAATTGGCTGCTGATAAAACATGTACCTTGGTCAGCATGGTAGCTTCATTTGGTGATGGCGTCATATAACATGCAATTAATATGCATAACTTTAGTCTTTGATATTAACCGCAACCTCAGGTGTTTGATTGACAGGTGTACCCATAATTTGTTCTTCCCTACGTAAGCCCCAAGGGGAACGGAACGAGCCGTGTAAAGTCAATCATTCAAGTTTAATGTGTGCATTACGTCATAGCTGTTAGTGTACTATCTCATTAAAATGAAAATCCTATACTGCGGGATTACAATAAAGAATAACTTTGTTTATCGCATTTTATTTGTTTATTGAATGTTTGAACGACAGAATTAAGTACTAAACGTTTCAAGAGATCGAATTATTACTTTATTACTGTCATTTTGATGTCTGAATTGAAGTAAGTACAATTTACATCTCAAACAGTCAAGAATATCTGGCGACATTGATTGCACTTAACCCATTTAGACATCTTGAAAATTAGTTTTCTCTTTCATGCCATGTGGCATTTGTTTATCACCGGAAACTGATGAAAATATATGCATGTCATTTTATTACATATATACTATTGTTCAATATCTATTTTTAATAACAATTATTTTAGCACGTACTGAACGACCCTTATTACAATAATTCAATTATAAAATTATGCTCGAAATAATATGCTAATTGCAATTAAACATAAAAGCATAAAATGTCTTTGATGTGTAAGTTTGTCTGCTATACAATAAAGTATGTAATAATGCAAAGTACAGTAATTACACAATGTCACAGTTGAGTAAATTCATGCATGAATGAATGAATCAGAACTGCATTTTTAAACTCCAATTCATATCATTCAACCATTCAATTATTATAACAATTCAATGGAAATTTGTTGGTGAAGATTTTGTGAACAATTTTGTAGAATAATTGTTTTAAATGACAGTAAGTCGTATCCGCCTGTGAGCTGTTTTATATTACAGAAAACTTGAAGTACATTTTAATATAATTATAAAGTTCGTTGTAGATTTCATTGTAAAAGTCTTCGCATCTTAATGTAGATTGTTAATGTTTACTGTAGATGATTCATATCCTAATGGAGAAATTTGTACAAGATTTGTTTTTGTCTCATTGTAGAATTGTAATCTTATTGTAGAATTGTAATCTTATTGTCAGTCAATTGTAGATTTTGTTGTAAAAATCTACATATCGATAATTGTAGATTGGTAGGATTTGTTGCAGATTTTTTTATATCTCATAATTGTAGAATTGTTTATTTTATTATAAAAGTTCATTGTAGATTTTGTTGTAAAATTTTTTTACATCTATACATAAGTAAGATTTATTGTAGAATTTTAAATTTATTTTAAAAGTTCTATTGTAGAATTCATACAAATTAAGGTTTAGCCATGTCATAGCATTAAAGATATCACCAAAAATGTCAAAAATTAACTTCTACATTATTAACAGTATTTGGCAAGTAAATATCGTGAGTATTTTAACTAATAAAGAGATGGTCGTTATATACGTTCATGTCATACACTTTTAGGCTGTGGAAATGGTATTTGATATATAAAATGGTCATCCTTCAAAACGAATTTTAATTTATTGAAACTGTAACAATTTTTAAGAATAATTGTTAACTATTCAAAGAGTTATCTTAGAAATTTTACTATGATATTTTAGACAAAGATCGATTTGATTGATGAGGTCAAATACCTGTTGTGCAACGTATTTACAGTCAACACCTGAATTCTAGTCAAACTCCCATAAATTAAACATGAAATAAGTACAGTATGATTATTTGAAAGAAAATGAATTTTAGACAGTACATTAACTATACATGATTAATAAAACTGGGCGATATTTTTATAATAAATATATAATACAATGTATTGTCAATACAAGATGTTACCCTGTTAGGTGACAAGAACAAGTAAATTCTACAATTCACAAACATTGATGCATTCAATTGTAGTTTTTGTGTGTTTATTCTGAACCGAGCAAGATGTCACCACATATCTTTAATATGTAAATAAGGTTTTAGGTCATCATGCGCAGCCGACATCCCTTGATTCTTTTGATATCATTTCAGATATAAAAACGCAATCTTTTTTAATTCACAGATGAAATAATTATCTATATTTTTTCCAAAATCTATGATTTGAGTCATACGTTCAGACATTCTGGAAGCATATTTGCATTAAAAAGGATACTCAACAAAAAACAACATGTTACCGTTTTGGCTGGATTATTATTGAACAATACTGTGCATGGATATTTTCAGCCTTGACTTGCGATGACGCATTGACTGAATAGAAATTATACCAAGATTACTGATTTTTATCCGGGTTGATTGAGTACAATTCAATTCAACAAGGTGTCGTAAGAAATATTCACAGATATCTAAAATAGGAATTTAGGATTAATCAATATTTAGTAAAATTTAGTGGATAGAAAACGAACCATTGGCATTATCCAGACAATCCTTTTGTATAAAAATACTATGCACTAAAGTGTTTTGATGAATGATTGGGGTGTGCTCCTCTTAAATTGCAAAAAGACCATGAAGGTCGTCTTGCTATTTTGGATTTTAAAAGATGGCTGGCCATATCAACAAATTCATTGTATTTTTTAATTGGAATATGTCGAGTTTTCAATCTTGGTATTTTTTGACAAATTGTCGCAAAACTTAAACTGTAATTGCTATTTACCATTTCATCAACCAATCTAAATTGACTTCAAGGTAATCATATGCTAATATCTGGATGACTAGGCCTACTGGTTTAATCTCAGCTATTTTATCTGCCCATATTTGGCACTGTCTGTTTCACAAAATTTGACCAAGCCCTGATCCCTTTGTAATATACCTGAATAGGATCGAGATATGGGTCAAAATCAAGTTAATTAGTTCATTACCAGCTAACTATGTTTGTAATCTCTTAATATAATAATAATAATAATAATAATAATAATTTATTTATTTAAGTGTTACCGTCCATATATACAGAGAATAACAACAATAAAATAATTACAGCATTATAAAATGGACGCCAGCCGGCTTCGACTTATGAGACACCTTAGAATTATATCATATAACTACATTCAATGAGACAGGTAAAACACAAATATACAAGTAAAATAAACATTATGATAAATAAAAAGGGTTAAGGGTATCACAGTCTGTTTTCTACGTTCAAACATTTTAAAAATACATGCGGCAAAATATGGTAAAATTCGTTCGTTTGTCATTAAAAAACACAATTTATTTACATTATTATAAAATAAAAAATCTGGATTAATAAAACAGGCTTCGGCACATAAAACATTTCTTATATCAGTGTATAATTTACAGTTAAAAATAAAATGCTCCTCATTTTCAATTTCCCCATTATCACATAAAAGACACTTCCTTAAGCAGAGAGGTTCGGGGGGGGTCTAACAAATCTTCCAGTTTCAATTCTCAAAGGGAGTGAACCCGCTCTAAGTTTGGACAACACGCGTCTGTGAGCTCTATTTTTAATAATTTTGACATACGGTTCTGTTCCGAATTCAGTTTTGTACATGCGGTATGACCGGAGTTTTTTTCCATTAACATGTGTGCGGTCATTCCATACATCCCTTGACCACTGACCCACTTCCCTTTCCCATAGACTATCCCACACATCATCAATACATACAGTGTCACTTTGATCATTTAATACATGTAGTTCTCGACCGATACTTAATACTCGGTCATCCCAGGAGGACTTACGTCTACTGGCCCATTTATGTACAGTTTTACAAAGAATATTATCGTTGAGTTTAAGTCTATTCCAATATCTAAACAATTCAATCTTAACTAAATTATCACCCTTCAGCCATCCCATGTCCCCCATTGCTGCCAAATTACTACTTCTTTTGCTCAAACCAAGGAAGAATTCGCATGCGTTACTATGCAGCGCATTAATACAGTTATGTGTATTAATACCCCAAATACCGGATGCATAAGTAAATACAGGCCTGACAAGCGAGTCATATAATTTTGTGTAAACATCGTAGCTAAATCCACCAAACTGTATCGATTTAGTTTTAATCACAGCCAAAGCCCTATTAGCCGATTTTGATAACTCTTTAGCGCTGTATGAATAGTCACAGAATTCGTTCACCCACAGGCCTAGGTATTTATATGCATCTGCGTATTTAACATTTAATTCACCACTATGGAACTTAAAGTTACTTCTAACTATACCAGGGTTTCTAAAATGTACAATTTTTGTTTTAGACTCATTCACGACTAACCTCCATTTATTACACCAATTATTCAATAGAATTTGTAATTTTTTGTTCATCTGGGGCCAGAAGAACAATATCGTCAGCATATAGCAATACCGAAATTAATGTGCCATCAATATCAATTCCACAGTTAGCTTCATTTAGATCTTTAACTAGATCGTTAACATATATTGAAAATAATGTTGGTGACAATATATACACAACCCTGTTTAACCCCTTGAGTAACTGGGAACCACTCAGTTAATGTACTATTTACCTTAACAGAGCATGAAACGTTATTGTACAAAGACGAGATACTATGCAAAAATCTACCACTCACACCTATAGAGTTCAGTTTAAACATCAAACAGTCCCTGTTTAAAGTGTCAAAGGCTTTTTTTACGTCCACAAAACAGGCAAAAGTTTGCTGTTTGGATGACTTCCTGTTTCTAATAATATTGTTCAATATATAAAGATGGTCAATACAGTTTTTGCCTTTACGAAATCCATTTTGTTCTTGTGCTAAAGTTCCCTTAACTTCCAGCCATTCTGACAGTCTTGAGTTAAGTATAGTTGCATACACTTTACACGGGACTGATAAAAGGGTAATTCCTCTATACGACAGGGGGTCCCATTTGTTACCACCGTCAGTCTTGGGGATAGGTGTGATAATACCTTTTAACCACATTTTAGGAACTTCTCCGGTTTGGAAACATAAGTTTATGATCTTATATAGCAGTTTTACACAAGTATCGTTACGTATACACTCACTAATGATAGAGTCAATTCTGGCTGCTTTCCCTAACTTAGTCTTGTACACTGACTTGCGCACTTCCTCTTCAGTTATATCGCGGTTTAGTGAATCACAGTTTACACTCGGGAATGTGTGACTTCCGGTTTTGATAAAATCTAAATGTATGTCATCGAATTCACTACTTAAGGGCTTGTTCAATAAATTATGAAAGTCATGTTTCCAACGCTGTAATACATCTCCCGGGTCACTCGAGAATCCATTGTCCGTTTCTACTTTCATTGGTATTGAACTTTTCCGGTCATTAGCGATTCCAATTTTTCCAAATTGTTTCCAAAAATCTTGTTTATTGGCTGATTCGTAAAGGTTCAGTAATCGATCCTGTTCATGTGATTGATGCAGTCTCTTAAACCTACGGTTTGTTTTATCAAAAATGTCTCTTACCTCACAGAATTCCTTGCGCAGTTTTCTTTTAGAACAGTGTTCGTTACACTTGATCCAAGCCTTTTCCTTGTCACAGACTGATTTCCATAGTTTTGAAAGTTCGTCATTCCAGTGAGGTTTGTGTAAGCTTTTCCTCTTTCTTGATGAACACGATGATGTCTTTAGTTGTGGCACTCGTTGCTTCAGTTCAATTTTGATAATGATAATATCTACAAAACTGGAATAAGCTTCACATATATTTCGATTGTCAGAAAGCTCTTTTTCTAGTCCAATAATTTTTTCTTCTACACCGCTAATATTTGTAAGAAAGTCTCTTGGTATTTTACGAGTGTCATATCGTATAGTTTTATTCAGCACTGGAAAATGATCTGCATTCGAGGTGGCGTTTTGTACATCAATTGTCCGGATTATAGGTCCATGGTCAGGAACCGACTTTTCAAATATACAAACTACCAATTATAACATACTTTTTTTGCACGTGCCATCACAGACTCCATTCAGTATGACTACAAAACGAGGCCCATCTGTGTTATAGATTCATTCTCTTTACTTCTATCTTCAATACTTATTTCAACATTTCCTTTCAGTACTTCTTTATTTGCACAGTACTTTGCATAATCATTCGCGTTCTTTGATCCCGTCCAGTCTTTTTTCAGTACTTACCACTTCATTCAAGTCACTATTCACTTCACTATTTTCTTCAATACATACCTCAACAATCACTTTACTTCTTTCTTCAGTACTTACTTCAACATGGGCTTCTTTGATGTCTTCCCGTCTTTCTTCGGCACTTACTGCATCAGTCAATTCACTATTTACTATTCACTATTATTTCCCTTTAGAACTTACCTCAGCATTTATTTCACGTTTTTCTTCAATACTTACATCACCATTCCCTTCTCATCATTCACGTCACTTCTTTCTTCAGTACTTACCTAACCATTCTCTCCTTTGCTGTCTTCAGTTCTTTCTTCAAAACGTGTTTCACTACTCCATTACTCTCAATCACTTCATTATTGACTTCAATTTATCAACTAATAAAAATTTACGTTGTAACTATGCTTTTTGAAATTAAGTTTCACATAAGCATGTAAAACAAGTAAACCAACCGAAGTAAGATTTCTGAAATTCAGAATGCCGATCATGCATATTTTCGGTGTTTTGGGAAATTTCACATCTTTATGTTATCAAAGCTCAAGAAAAATTCATATTATTTTATTTTCATTAACATGTCAATCTGAGTATACCAGCATATTTTATCAAATAACATCACTATCTATATACCAGTATAATTATTCTATATTATACATGAAGAATTTCATAGAAAATTACAATACATCATCTTACGAAACACAACAGACGGTTTTGACACAAATTGCTATAATATATTGTCTACAATTGTATGTAAGCCCCGTTTGTGACTTTTACTTACATTTGCATATTTGACATTTGACAGGAGGTATTGTACTTGAGAGCTTGGAGATTATTTGTTACTTGAATACAAAATCAATCATTAACTTGGTCCAATTTATAATCCTTCTCTAATTGTAACAATTCGGGTCTTTTAACCTGACATTCAACGTTTGAATGCTGTGTAAAACAATGAACACGATTCAGCGTTATTAACACGCATGTTTTAAAGTATGTATATAAGTTATGTCTAAATGTAATGATAAACGATATTTTTTAGCTGCTATATCTTCTTACTCTATATTGACGAGAATAGTATCTTCTTCACAAGAAAAGCTGAATTCTTTTATAGTATATTATTGTAGTTCTTAATAGCACCATGCCTCAATTAAAGCTGGTCATATCTTTATTATTATTTTTTTACTATAACAATATTATGTGCATCAAATTCATTCTTGTACTAAAATAGAGGGAAACATTTCCAAAAGTCCCTAATGATAATAAAGGATTTGATGTCTCATTCATTAACTAATAACAGCAGGTTATCAATGTCTCAGGTGTTCCTATCTAATACTAACAGAGATTTAGCTTTTAATACATTCTATAACTTAACAACTACCACAACATGGGGTAGCCATGGCCATACAAGCATCTAATACACGTTAAAGATAATACACCGAGTGGACAAAGCCATATAAAATACGTTGACATTTGATTGCTAAAGGGATTTCATTTTAATTCGAGAATAACAGACATTTGTCTATTAAGTATTTCATAATTATTCGCAGGAATTTAAGGTACATTACAAGAGTACAATTTTATAGTACGTATTATATACATATTTATACTACTGTTTTGTTACACATAACTTTTATCAATGATGTTTATTTATGTATATTGGAATTTCAGCTTCAAAATAGTAATGCTTAAATATACCCAATCGGATTCAAAAGCGAAACAGAGGTGTAACACAGAAACGCTATACATTGTACAAGATAGAAGAAGAGACGTACAAAATGAAGGTAAATACGCAATATAAAAGTAACATAGCCTACCAAAGGGAACCACTCGGTCTAATAAAAATTTGGCCAAACTTTTGTTCAACAAAAGATGTATTGTGAGAAGCAATAGACACTGAATTCACTTTTTGTTCGAGTCACAAAATCCCAGCGTTGAAGAGGCCAGAAATTTGAATGGCTGGCGTTGTTATCAAACAGGCTGTCTTTAGACTCTGTGGTGGCTATATGAAATATTAGAGCTAAATCTAAATTTTATTATACCTTATTATATATATATTTTATTATTTTCATGCAAAATGAAAATAAAACGGATAAAGATATGTAACACAGAAACGATATATCAGATACTGTGGAAAAAAGAATAAGCAAAAATAAAAGGAAACAGTCGACAAAGGATGTTGACTAACGCAGACAGCTATATAGAATATCAAAGCTTATCAACTTGATGAAATATGAAAGTATGAAATGTATATTGAGTGTCCAAGATTATGTAAAAGTAAAAAATTCCATAATAATAAGATGAAGAATATTTAATTATGATTAAATTGTTAATTAATGAGAATTTACCGTTACAATGCTTACTTTATTATGATAAATCTTCTCATATTACATGTCATAACTACAGGATTGCTGGAGAGAAGCCATAAGTTAGAATAAATTGCTCATATTGTCTGGAGAAACAGGAAATCTGATAGGATTGAAGAATCTCTTCAACTGTTGGCAAGTTTCAATATATCCACTAGTTTGTAAGTGAATTGGAACTTACTGTCAGAGAGATATCATAGTAATGCCTACAATCAATATAACTATTGTTTAGTTCAACATGTCAACCTTGTGGACCGTAATATGTTTCGCTAGTAACTCTATTTTTCTATTAATTCCTTATAAATGTATAAAAGATATCTTGATTTCTCCTGACGCGAACGTTGAACCTTACGTAAATCTGGGAATATATCTAGATTCCTGTGAATCTGTAGAGTTTAGATATTAATGTTACAATCAGATAAATTCAGAATAAAGAGTTTTAAACATGTACTCATCAAAATAATTACATGTAACAAATTAGAATACACATTTGGCGATGTGACACTAAACGCATAAGTGAATATGGAAAATATTGTTCCTATATTTATATAATTGAGATAGCACGTAGAAAAAACCTCTGACAGTGTTAGAATTTGGAACGGGACAAGAAGGTAGCAGCGCCATTTTGGTATGAACATGCTTGTTTGGGAGATTTATTGTCTTTGCAGATGATTTGGCTTGCTATTCTATATGGCTGCCATTCACTATCGTAGTAATTACAACTTCATTGAAGTTGTCAGAAGGACTCGACTGTATTTTACAATATGAGTTCATAGTCATGTTACGTTATCAGTAAAGAGTAAAGTAAATAATTCCATCTGTAGATATATTAGAGTCTAGTTTCAATCATTGGTTATCTCTCCTGCTATTTTAAGTAATCTCCAGTGATATTAAAATACCGACATATGTTATAATGGAACTAATCGTGAATATTGTTATGTTTTTCTCGCTGTTCCATTAGATTTATACCAGTTCTTGACATTTTAGCTTTTCACATTGGTAGGTCATCATTAGTTTGTTGAACATGTGTGGCAAAAATGAACCTTTATGCTTCAGAAGGTTATGCTTTAGGTTTTGTCTATTTATTATTTCTGTTTATTCCAGTATTTGCAAGGTTGACAATATGTTATACCAAATAAACGCTATTAGTTATGTGGACTCTCTGATAGAGGTGTGTTCCGGAATGCTCTTCTTGGCCAGTGACACTCAACACAGTAGCTATTAAAGTAAATGCCAAAAAGGACCTTGAGTTTGAAGCTAATTGGATATTGACCCCGGGAACAATCTTGTCCACCAGTAGAGTCATTTGATATTGATGTGTAATATATATACATATTCCTTACAATTATATACGAGCCTCTAAAGTCTCGTGATCACTTCACATGCATTGGCCAACTTGATTACGGCCAATGGTCATTAGACATCAATATACGGATTCTACTTCAAATAACTGGCAATATCGTAATATCTTGAAGTTTTTGGCAAATTGTATCTTTAGCGCTCTTACTCTTCGATCATTAATTTTGAAAACCTGTGGCTGAAGTGAAGTGTTGTTGATGCTCATATTATTTGATGTACAACAAATATTCAACAAAGATATTTCAATCGAAATTAATATAAAAATTCTTCAACTAATTGAGAATAAAATAAAATTATGGCTTGTTTGTTTAATTGAGAATATTATCAGATATTGTAAGTTTCAAGTGAAATAATGAAGACCCATTATAATATGTCAGGCTATAATTCCAATAGCAATTGTCTCTCAAACTGTTTAAATAAGGCAGAATTTCTATTTCCGAAACGAGATAGCCGATTTGTTTATTTACCGTTTTCAGATTATTAGATCATCGCTTGTTAACAAGGCTTATTATATCAACAATAGTTGAGGAATCGAAGTCCCATTCAATATCACTGCTTTAAACAAAAGATCTTTTCTATTTTGAAGGGTAATTTGTTGAGTGTAATATTAGTTTTAGTTACAATCACCTGAGAAAGGTCTTTATGTTGTAAAGGGTCTTGTTTATTGATCTTCTAGGAACAATTTTCATCACAGATTCACTTAATATGACTAACTTTTATTTCTCGTCTGCTTTCTACTTCCGGTATATTGTTCTCGAATTGATCACGTAATGCGTGAGATATGAGACGTCGGCCATTGAAGAGTGTCGTAATTTCCGTTAAGGGCTGATAAATAGTTATTTGCTTCTATTAAATGACAGTCAGAATGGCACATGCGGGCATCATCGTCATACAAACACACAAAAGATCTTTTGAAATGAAATTTCTAAATATTTGACAGATTTCTTTAGGATAGAGTCAGGCGCCATTGTTCCGTTGAAGTGTCTGTAAAATGGATTTGAGCACTCGTTAAGTTCAGCTTAGGATTTATCGCCAATTTCTTTAGGCGGTAATTTTGATTCAATTAGCCAAGATTTCTATAAATAGATGACGATGCCAGTGTCTGCAATGGTTTGGCAAACATTAACCATTATTGCGTTTTTTAAATTTATTAATTCACTGATTAAATTTAAGGTTTAATGTAAGGAGTTAAAAGATTGTATTGTTTTAAGGGGTGGTGCTGACATGTCATGTTCAGAGCATCAAGATGACAATTGACATGTATAAGTTGGCGATTAATAATATTACAAATGATAATATAATAAATACAGAACAAAACAGCATGCTTTCCAATCTCTGTACATCCCACAATGATAATCTGAGATAAGCTTTTTATTTTACAGACAGGAAAATGACACTGACGCCGAGCACATCACGACCGGGATAGGGTTTAACTCTAAGAAACCATGGAAAGGCTATTTTCATCAATTTAAGTAAGGTTTAAAATGATAATATGACATTCATCCGAAGAAGGATTTTAAAAACTGATAATATTTTTATGATATCAAATATTTTCCTTGACGCCAATTTCAATATCATAAAATAATTTCAGATATCCCCGACTCCACTTTCTTTTACAGATGTGATGTAATTGTATAGCTGTTTTGTTAACAGATCACTGAATAAAGTTGTGGTTTTCAAATCGTCGTAAGTCGATGTAAGTTTAGTGGTGGAGCCAGGTTTACGTCCGTGAGGGGGCACGATATCTTAAATTGCCCGAATCTTTTACCTAGTTATTTTTGCCCGAAAAACTTGCTTTTGGGGCTGCGCGAGTGAATCCTACTTTATTCGTTAAATTTCGCAAGGATATAATATATACATGCAAGGTAATGTTGTTATTGGGAGGGCCTTATAGAGTCATACAAGTTGTGCTAGCGAAAGGTTGACCATTGGCATTTGTCGTTCTCATTTGTATATGCCCACATGAAATAGGGGGATATATCGGCGTCCCATGTCCGTCCGTTGGACACAATTTTTGACGGAGTTTAAATATTTAGCTCGTTAACACTAAAAGGCACGATTCTTGCCAAATTGCCAAACTTGTAATATTGTTTAGTATTACCCCTAAAAGTACAAAAGATGATTGCTACTGTACTGCCAAATATTTTTATTCAAAATCAAAGCTTCTAGTGGGCGTATATTACCTTGCCTGGCAAGTTATCCTTGTTTTTGTTGTTTTTGTAGGCTACAATCTTTGATGACTGAAAACGAACTAAACTCGTTAGTTGTGAGGAGAAGTGTTGAAAAATCGAAAAGCAATTCAGAAAAATAACACTTTTGATATAGATCAAATGTTAATAGTCACAAGAGAACACAACTATGATCTTTGTAAACTAATTAATAATTCTGCAATCTGGAAAACAGTGCAAACTAATATCTAACTCTTCAATATTTCCTGATTAAAGTTACATTAGGTCTTTTAACACTTGACATGAACATGACATGCCCGACTGCTATCTAGTAGTTAATCCGTCCTAAAGTCGCCTAAGATCTTTCATCATAATTCAACTTTTCAATCTCACATTAGGCTGATCTTTGGACACCCTTCATCTTGTTATACTGGGGCAGATGTTCCGAGGGTTGGGATCGACGACCTACTGCCGTTTCGTCGCCATGAGCTGCATTAAGACACGCGAATGCCACGCGACACCCTCTAGGGTGAGAGAGAGATGCACATCAGTGACAATAAAAGTTGAGTTTTAAATCGATAAGAGAATAATAGAAGACCCTAGATGTTTATCATCAATAGTAGGACCTTTCTCAAAATTTTAATGGCTTTATGTTTCATTCTTTACAAATTTCACGTTCTCAAAATAAAACTAGAATAGTTAACTTTAAGTTTTGAATTAATGAATTTTACAAAAATATTTTTGTTTCGGTTTGAATAAATGCATAACTACTTTTCTTATTATTCTGATATATTATAGTATGCCAATATCCTTTCACCCAGCATTGCCAACACTATTGTGTATGGAAAAACCTCACAATTTTTCTAATGCAATATTTGTTCAAGTTATATGGACAAGTTGACTAAGCTAAGATGAAGGTAGTTGGGATTTATAAAGTGTATTCACATATTTTGTTTTTCTTTTTTTTTTTTGTTCAGTACCTTGTTAGTACAAAAGAGGTCCTGTTTGTGAAAATACCGGAAACATAAAAATTTGTCCCACAAACCATTTACTATTTAATGCAATATTGGTATAACGCAAGATGATGGAATTGAAGAAGGTTTCAGATTTCAGTAATTTTCTATATAGGAACGTACAACTAGTCCTAAGATATTTAATACTAAAAACTTTTATAACCTATAAGTAAGATTTTTAGGGATGTGAAAATTATAAATGTTTTTGCAAGAATCACGATACATATATATAGGTATGTGAAATTTTACTAATCTTTGAGTAAGAATCTGAATAATATGTATCTTTCGTTATCTCTGTGTATGATTCTCAATACGTATTTGAAAAATAGCTTTGGTAATCTTTCAGTAAGAATCTCGATATGTATGTGAAAATTTGGTAATCTTTCATTAAGAATCGCGATATGTATGTGAAAATTTAGTAATCTTTCAGTAAGAATCGCGATATGTATGTGAAACTTTGGTAATCTTTCGGTAAGAATGTTAATACGTTGTCAAACATTAATAATCTTTGAGTAATAATCGCGATCTGTATGTGAAATTTAGTAATTATATTGGTGAAACCTCGATATGAATTTAAAACTTAACTTATCCTTCAGTAGAATTTCGATATGTTTTTGATACTTTACTAATCTTTCAGTAAGAATTCGATAAATGTGAACATTTTACTAATCCTTTGGTAAGAGTCTCGATATTTATGTGAAATGTAAGAAGCATAATGTGTATGTGAAACTTTACTTATCTTTCAGTTCGAATTTCGATATTTATGTGAAACTTATCTAATTTTACAGTCAGAATCTCGATATGTAGGTGAAATTTTACTAATCTTACAGTCAGATTCTCGATATGTATTTGAAACTTAATTAATCTTACAGTAAGAAGCACGATATGTTTGTGAAACTGAAGTAATGTTTCAGAGAGAATTTCGATATTTTTCTGAAACTTAACTAATCTTACAGTTAGATTCTCGATATGTAGGTGAAACTTAACTAATCTTACAGTCAGATTCTCGATATGTATTTGAAGATTAATTAATCTTACACTCAGAAGCACGATATGTTTGTGAAACTGGAGTAATCTTTCAGTCAGAATTTCGATATATGTGAAACTTAACCAGTCTTTCAGTAAGCATCACGATATGTATGTGAAACGTTACTAATCCTTCAGCCTTCGATTGGCGTAAAAAATGGCCTACCTGTCCCTTAAACTAATCTTACAGTCAGAGTCTCGATATGCGTGTGAACATTTACTTATCTTTCAGTAAGAGTCCTGATATGTGTGAAATGTTACGAAATTTTCAGTCAGAATCTCGATATATATGTAAAACTTAACAAATCTTACAGTGAGAATTTCGATATGTATGAGAAACTTCAGTAATCTTTCAGGAATCTCGATATGTGCCAAACGTTACTAATCCTTTAGTAAGAATCTCGATATGTATGTGAAACTATGCTAATCTTTAAGAAAGAATCTCGATACGTATATGAAATTGTATTAATCACGATATGTTAGGTATGTTACACTTAAGTAATCTTTTGGGTACGATTGTCGACTGGTAAGTGGAACTTAACTAACCTGTCAGTAAGATTAAAAGATTAAAAAGGTATCTTCTTATGTTTGTAAGTAATTATTTTTATTGGAAACCTTTCATGAACAACACTGCAGTTTGGTTCAATAAGCAAATAAAAGTAATAGGTTTGTATTTGTAACTCAATTTACTATCAAATGAATGATTAAGTTTGTCAATTGGACTATCGGGAATAAAAAGAAATCGTAATATTTCATAGAATGGTATCGTGGTTGTTTTATGATTTTTTTGTTAGAATGTTTAAATTAATATTATTATTTTATTACTATTTCCCTTTCGAGGGGTCTAATAGGAATCGCATCTTCTAATAGAATAAAGATTTCATTGTTTCACTTAGTTTCTTTGATGTGCCGTCATAAATAGAATAATCGTAGAGTAAATTGCTGGAATCTTGACAGTTTCATGCGACAATGTCCAATAATAACCGGGGTGTTAACCGTTCTTCCATCACACCATATTAGGTTAAAATTACTTCAGATATTATTTGACGCGATTTAATCATTCGCTATTATTCTGACTAATTCCTCAACGCCGCCGCCTAATTCTTTTATGAATGGAACCGAAAATCAATGACGTCATTTACGCTTGTTCTTTGATTCATTCCAGTACCACTCGTCACCAAATAATGTGTGACATCATCGTTCCATATGCCACGTGGTCTGATTCATAATATTCTTTGATGAATGTCATTGTTTTCCCGCCAAATTCCATAAAAGGAAATGATGGTTCAGAATGTAGAGAAATGGTTATTCCAGCCGATGGAATTCAGATGAGTAACACTCATTTTTTGTGATGGGAAATATTTGAGCTAACTTAAATAACCAAAAAATATTACGGATGTTCAGGTTTCATAAGGATTTTCCAGAAATTTTAATACTATAAAGTTTTTGGAACTTGATTGTAATGAAAATATCAATATATATACTATATCATAACTACAGATTTCCACTGTGTGTCGACTTACAAAATTTTTCTTTTCTATATAAACAAGTACTCGTAAAAAATTGTTCAAGGGGCATTAACCATTAAAAGATATTAGATGTATTTTTTCTGTGGTGAAAACATAAAAAGTAACATAAAATTATTTTGGAATGGAAAATACTCGTACTCCAACAATCACATGTTGATAAGCCTACAATTGACTTTCTAAGTGTCTAGTTGTGGTATAGAACGTTCGCTATGGATGAACGATCTCAGCTTTGAAAAAGGCAAGTCATTTACCAGGCGGGACAAAGAATTCAAAAGACACAGCTGAGATGTTGCGCATGCGCACACCACTTCTGGGCACACGCTGGATGTCGTAAACTAACAAAAGAAGGTTTTATGAATGGGGTATAATTTTTTCGTGTATAGCATAGTTTAAGTGTCTTTCCAACGATATTTAAAAGAAAATTATCGCCATTCTAAGCTTGTATGTTGAGGATTTTATTGTTCAGTAGTTTCAAGTATTTGAGTCGCGTGTGGCTTTTATTATCATTTTTAAATCATTGTTGCTGTTAAACCATGGTTAAACTTTCTACATGTTCATTTCTGAACTCCCCACATCCTGATCTGAAACAAACTTCAATATAGGCCTAGGTCAGACATAATCTATTTGTCAGGTTATATAAAGTGATGCATAATGTTGAATTGTAATAAGACAATTAACTTGTTTTCTAAAGGAAATATAAGAAGCTAGAAATGCTGTCTGTAGTAGAGTCTCTCCAAATTTTCTTTAATTTTGAGCTTGATCCCATTATCTACCGTGTCAATGGTGAGGCAGGGCATGCATCACTTAATATCAGTCTGTAACTTAGTAAGTCTACTCTGTAACTGGATGAGTTATATTTCAATTACATTTTGAAAAACTATATGATACGCCAAGAGAGAATTTAATCATCAGTGTCCATGATACAAGTATTAACTATTTTTCTTTTTATACATTGCATACTCATGCTGTGTAGAAATACCTATTTTGTCGGTGATTGTTATTCTGGATGATTTGTCTTGCAAAGTACGAAACAGTCAAGTGATCTGCACCAATGTCGCTATGTAAACTTACGCCTCCACTAATGGTCGTAATATAAAGCTTCATGCACGTCTTCAGTCCTGTAAAACCGTTAATCAAAGAGTTTTGTAATGTAGGAATGAGTATTACAGTAAATTAATTAGACATGTTTATTGGTATTAGTATTATATTATATAAATATGGTATATTATATAAGTAAATAATAACGGAATTTGATATGACATTTCTGTATAGTAATCAGTTTCTAGTTAACTGTTATTAGGACTGTATTGTTAGTCTGTAATTACTTTTCATACCTATTTTATCAGTATATAGACTTGTCAAATAATTTAAGGCTATTATTGTATTTCCATGTCAAATAGCTTGATAAACATTTTTCAACAAAATTTTTTAAAATGAATCAACCTTTCAATTTTTATGATTCATTTTCATAATATGACAAGTGTATATTATATGGATTTAAAATAAATGTATGTACATGTAATAAAATGCATCTACGAAAGGGTGCGTTCTCAGGTCGACCTTACAGTTTATACATAATTATAGTTCTACTGATGTTGCCCATGTAAGAAACAGATAAGAGGTGGTATCCCTGTCGGAAACAGCTCTACTGGTATTGCCCTTGTAAGAAGCAGAAAACTTGTGGTATCCCTGTCGGAAAAAGCTCTATGCGGTGTTGCCCTTGTAAGAAACATATTACTGGTGGTACCCCTGTCGGAAACTGCTGTATTGGTGTTGTCCTTGTAAGAAGCAGATAACTGGTGGTATCCCTGTCAGAAACAGCTCTACTGGCATTGCCCTTGTAAGAAACAGATTACTGGTGCATGGTACCCCTGTCGGAAACAGCTCTACTGGTATTGCCCTTGTAAGAAACAGATTACTGGTGGTACCCCTGTCGGAAACTGCCGTACTAGTGTCGTCCTTGTAAGAAGCAGATAACTGGTGGTATCCCTGTCGGAAACAGCTCTACTGGCATTGCCCTTGTAAGAAACAGACTACTGGTGGTACCCCTGTCGGAAACAGCTCTACTGGTATTGCCCTTGTAAGAAAAAGATTACTGGTGGTACCCCTGCCGGAAACAGCTCTACTGGCATTGTCCTTGTACGAAACAGATTACTGGTGGTACCCTGTCGGAAACAGCTCTACTGGCATTGTCCTTGTACGAAACAGATTACTGGTGGCACCCCTGTCGGAAACAGCTCTACTGGTATTGTCCTTGTAAGAAGCAGATTACTGGTGGTACCCCTGTCGGAAACAGCTCTACTGGCAGCCCTTGTAAGAAACATTACTGGTGGTACCCCTGTCGGAAACAGCTCTACTGGTATTGCCCTTGTAAGAAGCAGATAACTGGTGGTACCCCTGTCTTAAATAGCTCTACAGGTATTGCCCCTATTAGAAACAAAATACTGCTGGTACCCCTGTCGGAAACAGCTCTTGTACGAAGCAGATTACTGGTGTTGCTCAGGTTGGAAATATAGATCTGTCATATGTAAGGTAATTAAAATCTGCGTATTTTTGTTGTACGTATTTTTGTTGTACGTATTTTTGGTCACTAAGATCATCTGAATGTTAACGTGTATTGGTTATTAAAGTATTGATATACTGGTGCTGTATGTTCTTTATTTATATCATCAGATTATGTTTAGTATGTCAGATCTTCTGATCCAGGCTGCTTATTCTAGAAATGAACTTAGCGCTATGATGTCCAAAGGTCTTAACTTCTAACACAGTTTCTGGGATATCCTAATGCTAAGATCGCTTCGAGAAAACAGGACCAGATCAGTTGCGGCTGGTGATACCATGCAGTCAGTTCTTATTAATATCTGTAGTTGCTTCTCGACTTATGGACTTCAATGCGTGACTGTTATTGTGATTTGAGCATAGAGTTTCCCTAACGTATTTCATCTAAAATCCCCTACATGATTTTATGAAAGGTATTTAATACAAATATAAAGCACTGTATTTCTTTGACTTATACATTGAGATAATCTTCGAGTGCGTCGTAATGTCTGTAGCCTATAGACATTTACTTTGGTTACACAAATAGTTCAAAATGTAAAATCTCAACAGAAATCAGATAAATTCATTAATCTTCTATAATAATTCTATTGATTAGTATATTATAAGAGGGATGTATAAAAAGTTATATGTCTATTAACAAAACAAATAATGCTTATGATCTTTAGTGGCCGTGACAACGTAACAAAACAAATTCAGCTGCATTGCCATTAATATTCTATGTGGAGGGTCTACAGTAAAATGTTTGGGAGTGAATTTCTCAATTTGATTCTGATAGTTCTGTTCTCAAGGTAAGAGTAGACTTTACTACTGGCCCTCGTTTCTATGATCAATGGACGTACTACCTGACACGCGCTCTTTAGCTGTATTTACAGGTATTCTTCGAAACCTTCCACATCCTGTTACTCCGATTCCACTTTAATTAATTTTCTCCAGAAACACTGATTCCATAGACTTTCAGGAAACATTTTGTTTTTGCCTTGAGCTGTTATAGTACATAACATTACCGGTATGTTTGTTTGTGGTTATTTGGTGCAAAAATTCCATGATATAAAGAAATATGGGAATCAAGTATAAAATAAACACTTCTATTCAATCCAATTATTTCTTCTATTGACATGTATTATTTCTTTTTATTTATTTTAACATAACCACTTTAAACAAAGAGCTAAAATATCGAACGATAAACATCTTTGAGAGTACGCGGCTTTCAGATAATTACAGAACGTTTGTCCCTTTAGACCTCTTAAAATGTGTAATTTTAAAGGTATATAATCTATCATAATTTAAGCATCATTTCCTATGTACGTATTAGCATTATGTAGTTTGAAGGTACATGTGTATCGCTCTCTCTTTTTCTGAATATAAATTCTATTATAGAATTTTTAGCATGATATTTTTACCGGCAATGTTCATTTTTATTTCCTAAGCATAGTTATAACATTTTTCTTGGTATAACTTTTGATTTAATAGGATGTAGAAAAACATTTTGAATTTATTGAATTCAATTCCAATGTTTTGTTCTATATTCTTAGTAATAATTTGACCTAATAAAAACTACAACAATGCCACCACGAGAAATAGTTTTTAAATTAAGAAGAAATAACCGTCAACCCAGGTGGAAAGAGAAACAACAATAACTTATCGATACGTCTTTTCATCTTATCGACAAAAATCGACCCGTTTCAGACATTTTCTAAACTCACGTGCACCTGCGTGGTACCTTTTCTTCTCATTTTCACGTTCAGCTGTATGCAAATGAGCCCACGCGCCAACCAAAGGAATATGATCATATTAAGAACGTTTTCAACCTTCAACATAAAAGATTCCGAAATAGTTGACTATGAAATTTGCAAATTTTGCTAACAAAGAAACATCAGATATGAAATGAGTAAAGTCTTTTGTTGTCGAATCATTCATAAAAAATATCAAATTATTGAATTGTATATTGGGTTATTTTTTATTATCAAAATCCAAATGAATCTTTTTTCTTTATCAAATTAACATTTTTTCAAAAGCCAACAATTAAGATTATTTGAACTGAAAAAAATACTTTGATGTCCCCGATTTCGATAGATGTTCAATTTTAATGAATTTTTTTCTGATTTTTAAATTGCTTTGTTTAGAGCATCGTTACTTAATGTTTTATCCGATGCACATGATAACATTTTATTTAGCAATTAAAGAAAATTTCATATAGCAATTTAAAATCAACGTTGAAAATTCATTTGAGGTTTTTGTTAAAATGTTTATAGTTCATGTGCGTTTATCATCTAACAGTTGAATAAGAGTAGAAAGGTGCCAGTGTTCATCAAAATTTCCCCTTTTTGCACATGTCATAATGCACTCGTTCGTCTTCAAATAGTTTTATGTCGGACGTCAGTCATTTCATCTATAATATATCCGTTTGTTTTCTCAAGTGTAATAATATCATTCCGACATGATATTTAGTTCAGAAATAGTATCTTTGATAATTTGTGCTTTCAAAAATGCATATTTCTATAATGCAAAGAAAGTTTAAAAACTTTTCAGTAATGTGCCTATCTCTCTGCTTCAAATCACGAGTCAAAAAAGCAGAGTTCAAGTCATGTTAATGCACCAAGTATTTTTTGTGAAAAAATTAATGCAATACAATTTCAATGATTTACCTTAAATAATTTACAACTTGTCTCTGATGGTTCAAAGCCTTTTAACAATGGCTTATTTGTGATTTAGATATCAATAATACATCAACTAAATAAAGTTTAAATATCTCTACACAACATATGTCTGATGGAATTTGATTTAATTTATTAATAATATTAATAAATAGGGCAGCTTTAATAATTGTGAAAAAAAACTTTGAAAAGTTTTAATTGTCATATAAATATCACAAGAATTGCTTTATGGCAATGTAAATACTTCAAGGATGCATTACAAGAACGTTTAATATTTGGACAGAGTGTAAATTCATATATCATAACAGAGATTAATGTGTTTAACACTCATTCAAAATTTCATCCGTGAAATATAACAGATGTAAATTCCCGTAAAGATACTTTTCTGTTATTGTAACAAATTGCGAGTATAAATTCCTATAACATAAATAAAACAATACATTTCTGTCGTTATAACAGGTATTGCAATTCTTGGCAGTTATTATAACAGAGAATACGAGTATAAATTCCCGTAAAATACATGTTTGTTAATGATAACAGAGATTACGAGTATAAATTCCAGTAAACAATATTCATGATTATTAATTACTGCAAAGCAGAAGAGAATTCTACAGATATCTCGCCATTTTATTATACTGATAATCAATATACCAGATAACTGTACACACTATATTTTATTAACAATCATCTCAATATTCAATCTGACACTTTTCATTTTCCAATATCCAGATGTTAAATTCCCTTAATAGTCTCGCCTAGACTCAACCCTTACATGCATATTAAATCTCAAATAATAACAATAAACGTGTAGATCAAAGAAAATGAAGGATTAGCCGCGGCCAGATTCCATGCTATAATTCAAACCGAATTGGGTTAATTTAGTTTAATAGGCTAATAGGGAAATTCTATTTACGCTCAACGTTTTGTCTCTATAACAGTAAATTTCATGCTTTCGTTTTATTTCTGCGTCTAATTAGTGGAGCATGTGAAAATTACATCACTAGTAGCATCCTCGGCTTTCTTTTATGTATTGTTACATTCATTTATTTTTAACACCTATTGTATGGAGATCAAAATTACAGCGAACCGTTAATGGCAACAGAATCACAAGTTAGAATAACGGATTCTCTTGATTAAAGACAAAGACTAGTGTTTCTCCAGGAATCATAACTCATTCCTCTATCCTAACAATTAAAACTCAATAATTCCTTCCACAAATCGGGCGTTTGGTTTTTCTTATCGTCTTAAAATAAACGAGTTCTGCTTCAATGACAAACAGCTCATGTAGCGCGGGAAACAAAGGACTTGAAACTTGGTAGAGGACGGGTGACAAGGGAGGGGCTTGTCGCGTGCCATATGCATATGAATGAGAAAGGCACGCGCGTATGAGTATATAAGCAGTGATTACCATGTGATTTCTCGGATCCACCGTATCTATCAAACAAGAGGCTATGTTCAATACGACATTATATTATTTCTGTAGTGATTTTATTTGGAGACAATTTTATGTTATCGATGTGACAGTATTTGGACTTAGATGAACACGTTGAGTTTTAACTTTATAGGTGATTGTAGCCTCCCGGTGTGATCTCGATTTTAGTTTTCGATGTAGTAACTTTTCGACTGTTGCATTTGAGTTCCCGACTTTGTGTTCCTGTATGTCTGTGAATTTTTTACCCTTTGACATTTAGTTTCCCGAACCTACAGTGCCTTGAGAGGACTACGGTCCACTAGAGTGGCTAAGCCAATAGTGCCTTAAAGATTTCAGAAAGTGGTCATCATGCCGAGAGGATTTTTAGTGAAACGATTTAAACAATCGTCAGCAGTGTCTTATAGAGAGAGGAGGATGATCGATGATGATCGAAGTGACAGTGGATCAGAACATGAGTATAACTATACCAGTTTTGGTTCTCCAGACTCAGGTTACTCTGCTAGTCCAACAGCCACCACTTTCCGTGAGAAAGAATTCCATCCAGATAAATTGAATAACAATGTATTGTTATTACCTTCCAGTATAGCTACCACCCATGCCAACCTTAATTTATTACACTTACCACCGCTTCCATCACCAGTTTATTATACGGCTTTTGATAAACTCAATCTGTGTGGTGGAGAATCACCTTATACCACCAAAACATCAACCACCCACAGCGAAACAGAAAGTTTACCATCACCAGTCCAGCATAGTCCAAGTAGAAAACGTCCCAGTGAGCCAGAGAAGAAGAATGTGGTGTGCAAGAAGTCCAAAGCAATCAGAAAGATAAACTTTGACTTGGATACGACGTCACCTGTATCAGGAACTATCATTAAAGACTTTTCGGATAGTGAAGACGAAGGGCGTGTTGTTTGTGGTGATATAGAACCTAGTTTTAATTTGGTAGAAGTTACACCTGAAGCTAGAGCTGAATTAGAACGAATTGAAAACAGAATTGGTGATTATATTTGCCAACTGTGTAAGGAGTATTATGAAGATGCTTTCCAGCTTGCTCAACATCGATGTTCCCGTATTGTTCACGTTGAATACCGATGTCCAGAGTGTGACAAAGTTTTTAACTGCCCTGCCAATTTAGCATCACACAGACGATGGCACAAACCTAAACCTAATAGTGCTAAACCACCTATTCCACCAAGAATTCTTCCCGGAACTGACCCTAAAATTACTTCACAAAATAACTCATATATTGGACAAACATTAAATTATAATATGAACGATAATTCAGAATCTATCAATAACAATAACAATAGTGCTATTGATTTAAGAACAACACAATCAGATGATGGACATTTTGATTGTCAGACTTGTGGGAAAAAGTTTAAAAGACCAGCATATTTAAAGAAACACATGTTAACGCATGTAAATGACGTTTCGTCACCATGTCAGTTCTGTGGAAAAGTTTTCTTCAATGAGACAGTTCGTGCAAAACATGAAGCTCAACACGGTGTTCGAAATTCCGAATTTGTATGTAACGTTTGTGATCTTTCCTTTTCCAGTAAAGGAACTTTGGATAAACATTCCCGAATCCACAATAAAAATAACTTTCCGTGTAGATTTTGCCCCAGTTCATTTTACAGCTCACCCGGTTTAACCCGCCACATTAATAAATGTCATCCCTCCGAGAACAGACAAGTGATATTGTTACAAATACCTGTGTCCAGACCATGTTAATACTACGAGTGCCTGTGTTCTGTAACAATTACTACTGAACGGTATGTTATAAACTTAATTGTGCTTTACATGTTGCGTCCTATTTATTAATTGCCTTTATATAATATTATATTTACTAAGCGTCCAAATATATTTTTATGGCAACTAATATTGAAACAAAGCCTTTCTGTACAGAAATATATTTTGATGATAATTTTATGTCTAATTGCATTGTTATTTCCAAAGATTGCCTTAAAATGTTAAAACATGTATTTTTATTGACCAGTTTTACTATTTTGGAAATATTTAACACAACAGACGGGATTCTTTCAACAAATTCTCTTGAGTCATGCTAATTTATTTAATTAAACAGTTAGTCATAAACTGCCTTAGTCTAGGAACTTGTCATTCCGTCAATCAAAAATCCCTTTATATTAAAATCTATAGACCTAATCTTTTGTCAAAAATTAAATTCCCTCGAAGTGGGCGTGAGCTAGTTCATGGGCGGGACTAGAAATCAATCAAAGCCCGAATGTGTCACGCCCATGTCAACAAAGGGATTTCAATGTTACCGTGCCTTAAAGATTCTTTGTTAATATACATGATTATGGTTTTTAAATTTCCAGATTTAGGTAATTGTATGTACGTTGTTTTGTGCCTTAAGTCAAAATTCAGTCCACGTAAATGTCATTTTAAAGCTCTGAAGCTTGAAAGCCTTATCTAACCATACGTCCTCACAACATCCGTGCCTTCCCCTTTAAACATGAACAGTTTTGGAAAGAAATGACATCATGTAAACATGTGCAATATTTTGAATGTAGTCATATTGTTATAAGTCATCCTACCCTAGTCTTATGGTCCTCTTTGTAACTTGTCTAATGTTATATTCAAGTTAAAATCAAGAATGATAACATTTTAGTCATTAACATGCTTTTATTTTAGTCATTATACTTATTATTAAAGAGTTTTATGTATTTTGAAGTCATTATACAAAATTTATTGCATATTTCTATGTATTTTTTCATTTAGTCATTATAAATCATATTTTCAAAGATTTATGTATTTCATGAGTCATTATACAAACTTATTCAAGAGTTTTATGTTTATTATTATCCGAGTCATTATACAAACTTATTTAAGAGTTTTATGTTTATTTTCATCTGAGTCATTATTCAAACTTATCTGATCGTTTATTAAATCTTAGTCACTAAATTTATTTATTTATTTATTTATTTATTTATTTATTTATTTATTTATTTATTTATTTCATTTATTACTTATAGTTGCTGTCTTATTTATTTGTTATCTTGTTATTTTAAAAAACATAAAATCAAAAATATAAAATATTCAATATGGTAATAAATGTTATAACCGATATATTCAATAATCAATTTGAATTGTTATTTATTAATATTTGTATACAATTATTCAGTATGTTTGGACGCAGATGTAAATATCTTAAATGTATGATTGTTTATATATTATAATTGTGAAGACGATAATTGTCAAACAGCGTGAGGTAATTATTTGTATATGGCAACAATGAATCTTTGACGTATGCTGCAAATTGTGCACTCGTGGACAAGTAAACTACTTATGGTTTTCTTGACAGCACTAAATAATTCATAAAAAGTCTTCAAGTGCTTATTATCATTATTGTAATTGCACTTAATATAGCATTATCAAAACTTTAATCTTATATATTTACATCACTGTAATATAATCAGATATATTTTGTATAGATATTTGTGTTAAAAAAAATAAAATATGCTTACTTAGAAAATAGTTTCTATTGACGGGATAACGAGGGTATTTGTAACGGCCATGCTTGCTATACATTCTCTTATTTATATACACTGATGCCATCCATTATCATGTTCTCAAATACTGCATATTATATATGATGGAATACTGTCATGGTACCTATATACATAGCATTAAGGTTATGGGCTAACTTTCAGGATTGGGAACACCTGACAAAGAATTGGCTGACCAGAGAGGATGATATCCTGAAATCCTAGAAACCTACTGCAGGTAATTTCCAAACTGGAAGTTACACATTGCACGATTATAAATCGAGTGCTCATTTTTTATCTTCCTACATCAGACGGAAAATATTAGATATTGAGGAATGACCATTTTCATCGAAAATGCACCACTCACTCTTCCCATTAATTGAACCATTTCACTCCTGCACATAGAATTACTTATTTTCGCACAATTATCAACTTCCTTATAGCAGGTCTTTTGTGTGGATGTTAATTACTATTCGGTGATGCCGTTTTGCGTTAACACCTTACCTACACATGCTGCTCAGACCTCGATGGTAGGAGCAATGAACTGTGAATTGTGTAGGGTGTATGTGTTAGGGGAGGGGACAACACTTCGGTATTATTTTTCGTCACATCCAAACTTAGACGTTACTACTAGGCCGAGATCGAACCAAGGAAAGAAAGGGACTATCTCAACCGCACACAATCAGAAATTACTTATTTTACAAAACTGTAATGCGTTATGTGCACAATCGCGCTGTATTTTTTTTTATCTTTACACAACTGAATTGTTATTGTTTTAACTGATTATAATTTCAACATTTTAAATTTTAAAGTCAATATATCTCAGAAGTTATGTGCTATAGCGTCTCTTTACTGCCTCAAAATAGTAATTCTATCTTCAAAATCAAACTAAGACGCGTGGCTACATCTCACAAACTGGCACGCGACCACTGACGAAATTTATAAGACAACAATAGAATGTATTCTATGTGAACACGCGACTAGTTGGTTTTTGTCTAAAATTCTCGAGGTTTATGCAGGTGTGTGTGATATAGTGACATGATACAGAGACCATAATGTACTTGTTCTCACCCGGACTAAAATAACAAGGTCCTATCAATATGTCCAATATCACACCAACTATAAGTTTTGAAATTATTACACAGCTCTTGATATTCTTGGGTATGAAATGTTTTATATTATACGGGTTGGATCAATTAATAATATTTAATACTATGTTTGAACTTTGGCGGTTTTTTTCTACCTTGAGAACGTAAGACGTTTACACAAAATAATAACACACCATAGTCATCTAATATTAAAATACAGTATGCAATAGCATAAAATAACATCACTAAGTAAATCTATTCCATCTGATACATCAACGCTATATCTGATATAATAGTACACGATCTCATCATCAGACAGTATATTCATTCAGTACTATCTGATGTGAGAGCATCTTATTTGATATCAAATGCATAATAAGTGCTATAAAACGACATCACATAAAATATAGATCTACTACTCTGCAGCATGTAAGTGATATAACAGAGTATCAACCAAAATCATCATATATTCGAGGAAACCAACGCCTTTCCCGATAGCCAGTCAACATATAGCTAAATAGTGTCTATTATAGCAGAACTGCATCTGATAGCATATATAGCATTGTATATTATCATAAATGAGCACTATCTGGTATAACAGCATCACATAATATCAAAGTACATGATGGAGTGGAATAAGTTATAGCAACATGTCTAATATTATCTTAGTAGCCTACTGGCTAGTATAACAGCCTTACATCTGGTGGTAAAGTAAATGGCGTTATGGTTTCAAAAAGCATTGCATATGATATCAAAGAACATGATGTAGTGGTATAAAATAGCATCGAGTATTTTTTAAATGAATTAGTATTAGCTAGTATAAAAAAATCGAATAAGATGTACATGGTGTATGTATAAAGCATCGCATCTGATATCAAAGAACATGATGTAGTGGTATAAAATAGCATCGAGTATTTTTTAAATGAATTAGTATTAGCTAGTATAAAAAAATCGAATAAGATGTACATGGTGTATGTATAAAGCATCGCATCTGATATCAAAGAACATGATGTAGTGGTATAAAATAGTAACGCATATTTTTTTTATAGATTAGTATTATTTGGTATAACAACATCGCATCAGATGTCAAAGTACATTGTGTATTTGTATAAATAGAATAGCATATTGTTATAAATTACTACTATCTGGTAAAAAAGGCTTTACATCTGATATCAAAGTACATGGTGCAGTGTATAAAATAGCTTCACAGATTGTTAAAAATAAGCTTTTTCTGGTATAAAAGCATCAAATCTTATATTAAAGAACATGATGTGGTGGTATAAAATAGCATCGCATATTGCTATAAATGAGTTTGTATTGTATATCTAGTATAACAGCATCACATATAGTAAAGTGCATGATGTAGTGACATAAAATAACATCACATATCCTAACATATCAGATCTGATATAAAATTCATAAATGATTTGTTATTAATAACCATTATATTGCAGTAATCCCACACAATCCTTTAATCTTCAGTAATACTGGCGCCAATATGTTCTTGAATTGGCGTTCTTTTGTGAGCTTTTATTTCAAACAACAAACCTGAGATTTATTTTTTCATTTAAAATTTTTAATTCTAAAGCGATTGTTTATGACTATAAAAAAGTTCCTGTAGGAAGCGAGTGATGTATATTTCACCATGATTAAATGTCTATCAAAAGATGATAAAACATAGTCTTTGGAATAACATAAACTGGAAATCGACCAATCGAATTATTTAAAGTGATACTTAGAATGAACATAAAATTTAACTTCTCGAAATGGTCAATATGAGTATATATTCATCAGTCAGCTTACCTGGTGTCATAAAGTTACAGCAGAATCCCTGTAAAATCTTGAAAGTTGGAAAATTCATAAAACTAAGTAATTAATGAAAAACGCTTAATCTTGATATTAAGCGTTTTTCAATAGTTAATTGCATATTTATGGATAATTAGTAAGTTTTTTTGGATTTATCGGATTATATAAGGATCCTGTTATGTTATTTATGACACCAGGTATATCTACTGGCTCTTATTCGCCAAGTTTAAAATTCTTCAATTTTTTGTTAATTCCAAGACGTCACTTTAAGCGACATGGATACTATCAAATTGTATGATCATTTTCAAATTTGATTTGGTAATGTGGTATTCTCTCGATAAATATTGCTAAAAGAATATTGCAGTATTATGCAGGTAGATATAGATTTATATAGATTCGTTCATTTATTTTCTGAAGTCCTTCTGGAACACGAAGCGCCGTAAAATGAAAATATTGAAATGGAATTTCAGACAAAGAAAATGAATAAATAACGATACAGAGCATGATAACCCTTCAAGAGTCCACACAGCTAATAAGTTTAGTTTAGTCTGTATGGTATATTATACATGACATGTATGAAATAGTGTACTGATAATAGGATTAATATAAATATCAGTTGACACCACATCCTTTATAGTCATAAACTATTGGTACTTCTTTTATTTATTCACAGAACTAGAATTCTATCATAGTATTGGTAGTCATTGATTTGTATAGTATAATCTGGTTCTCAAAGCCAGGCCAGCATTCTTTTGTGGGGCAGGGGGCGTAGAAACGACCAAATATAATTACGACTCGCCATGTTGCAGTTTTTCATATCTACTCCAAAACAGACGACTATGAATTTGCAAGTATTATTTCAAAAATATGTGGTGAGAATTATTATTCTATCTGCGTAAAGACATCATATATATAGAAATTATCAAGCTATAGGGATGGAATTTGAAGAATCAAATATTAATATGTTAACATGGGATTTTAGGAAATTAGATGACAATTAATCAGACATGTATACAAGTAACGTTGTTTATTATTTAAAACAAATTCTTATGTAACTATACTATGATTACAACCAAGCATTATAGTATAACATATTTAATTCTGTAATGAATTTTTGTGGGAAAAGGGGGATAATATTAAACCACTGTGGTCCCAATAAGAAATTTTACAATTCAAAGGGAGGTAATCACTATATTGCTGTCTGAAGCTTCAATCCCTATCGATTACGAGTGCAAAGGAAATTCTTTATTCTTTCATTGAATGTTTTTTAGTACAATTAAATATACTTATAAATAATAAAACATATTTTCCTTTTTTGACAAAAACAAATTGATAAAATGCCACATAAAGAATAATTTAAAAAAGTATTTTTGTATTAAAATGTACTGATATGTTCCATCACGTTGGTACCTCCCGTTATCTTTCACACTGACTGTTTACATTCCAACTGTACAACCAACACCAAATTCAGATGAATGGACATTTCTAAGATCCTAACAGCATCTCCCAACACCGATATTGATGACTCTCCATAGAGTTATTATTATGATTATTTTCAGCACGAGAAGAGCTGCCAGATGAAGTCTCTTGCCGAGAAGACGTGTGTGATTTTGTCGACGAGTGACATCCAAAAGATGCAATTCTTTCTGAGGATTTAACCGAATCGTCTTTCAACCATTGATGATGCAATATGGAAGGAATATTATAACGCTTTTTCACATTTACTTCAAGGATTTTGTATATAAGATCTTTACATTCGGGTGACACTTTCTTGGATTTAGAGAATCCCACTTTCCTTTCTAGCTGATCTCGTATCATTCTTTTAATATTGGAGTCATCAAAAGGCATAGAAGCACAAACCTAAAAATGGAATGAGTGACTGGATGTAGTACACAAAATTGAATTGATCTGGTTCATTCTGAAAGTCATCTAGATTTGCTCTAGAGATAGGTACAAGTCATTTAACATCATTCTAAGCCCCGAAATTCAGAACTATAGATTCGTGAACACAAGTCTATATATCAGACGCTACTGAGATGTCCTACTTCATGACAGCGCCACCAAGTGGATTGATTCTGCCGGTATCTCATTCAAGGCACAATAAAGTTAAGGCATTTTGTGGTTAAAGGGGGATAATCTTACATCATTGTGGTCTGTATCGAAAATTCCATATCGTTTATCACGAGGGATATATTATTTGAGTAATTATATTAATTACTATAGAATGTTACTGTAATATCAAACTGTAAAAGAATAAAAAAAAAATATATGCACGGACCATTATATACAATATAACTCCCATACTCCAGATATCATGTAATGGTATATGATATGTGATTCCCTGCAGAATTTCAGGAGCAGCATAAGCAGCACTTCCACAGAATGTCCTACTCATATCGCCAGGGTCGTAGAAGCGTGAAAAACCAAAGTCTGAAATCTTGAGGTTGTTAGAGCTATCCAATAACAGATTCTCACATTTGAGATCTCTAAAATAAAAGTTAAATGGAATAAATGATTAATAACCTGTTCATCTCTTTGTTTATCAAAATACAGTTTCTTTTTTCAACACTTTGAATTATTAATATTTACGAGTCAAAAGTTATTTGTGGTATAAGTGTATAGGTAAGTCGTTTGGGTACAACTATTCTAAGCCAGTTAGACGTACTTTAGTCTCAAATCACAATTCTTTTAGGTATACTCTGTCAATGAGACACAGGTCATTTAGGAACATCGTTAATAAGGCACAGTGATTTAGGCACAACTTCAAACAGACAAAAACTTTTGGACTAGGCAATCATTCAGATTGTCTGCTATACGTGGTTGTTTATATATAAAAGTTAGAGTAAGCGAATTTTAGTTTGAGTAATATTTTTTCTGCCGTTTAAACGTTGTACGAAGTAGCAAGATTTAATTCAAAACTTTCTGAAAGTGCCTACCTGTGCGCCATATGATTTTTATGGAGATATTCAACACCTTCAGCTAATTGACGAAATAAAACTTTAGCTCTGTCTTCTGCTATTGCACCTCGTAATTTAATATATTCCAATAAGTCACCATGTCCGGCATATTCCATTGCGATATAGATCTGAAAACATTAAATTACAGATTGTGAGCAAACATTATAGTTTGTATGCCAAGGGCAGCATATCGGAGCATGAATTCTAGGATAATTGGACACACAAAGCTGCATCAGTTGAAAGAAAACGCTTTTGTTTTAATGTACTTATCAGAGCGAAAATACGAAGCTATAATTAAAACACAGTTCCTACCTTATTATTCAATTCTATGGCTTCATACAATCTGACACAATATGGATGATTTATAGATGCCAAAACTTTTAACTCTCTTGGTAGAAACTTTTCTCGAAAATCTTTTGGAGCCCTCTTTTTATTGATGATCTTAACTGCAACTCTTTTCTGTATTTTCTCGCTAAAAGCAGCTTTGACTTTGGCATACGACCCTTCACCGAGAGTGGAACCGAGAGTGTAGCCATGCTTCTTTAACTCACATTCATCTTCTGACATGACTATCGACGGTTTGTACCTTGCAAAGAACAAGCATGCCATGTGATTAAATGGAACGTTGCCATACTACGTTTACGCGCATTATTCTTAAACCGGAAGTCAGAGTTATGTTGCCGTGCAACGTCATTGCATTTATGACGTTACGATAATGCCATATTCTTTTAAAGGAGAATTTTGATTTTAGTTCCAAAAAAACTGTCAGATCTACTTTTAAAATCTTTACCCGATTCCATGCCTCCTTTCAAGCGTCAAAAGATTGAGATGACAGAAGAATCGAGTACCCAGAACAGTAACAATGCAGCCCTAGAAACAGAACTTCAAGTAATGCAAGCAGAAGTCGAGCCGATCGAAGCAAAGAGGAACACAGCAACCAACAAAAGCGATGCCGTCTCTTATCGACCAACGTACAGAGCATTACTGGCAAGGAGAGGGTATTTGGTTCGGAGAACGTTGGGAAGTGGAAGTTATTCAAAAGTGAAACTAGCTTACTGTTTTGGGAAGGACTTCGACAAGGCGGCTGTCAAGATTGTTGATAGAGTCAAAGCACCAAAGGATTTTCAGACTAAATTTCTCCCCCGAGAACTTGATATCTGGCCAAAGTTAAGTCACCCACATATTATTACCATGTTAGATTTTTTTGAAGATGAGAGAAGAGTTTATATGATTCTGGAATATGCTGATCACGGTGATGTTTTGAGATACATTCAGCGTTCTGGTGCCTTAAATGATGCGTTATCTAAATGTTGGTGTAAACAACTAGGGGATGCAGTACGTTATTTACATGATCACAACATAACACATCGTGATCTCAAATTAGAAAACATGTTATTAGATTCAAATTATAACATTAAATTGTGTGATTTTGGTTTTGTCCGTGGTGAATGTATGAACACTTTCAGTAAAACTTATTGTGGTTCTAAATCCTATGCTGCTCCCGAAATTCTCAAAGGAGAACCATACGATCCGAAAAAGTCAGACATGTGGGCGATAGGTGTTATTATTTACATTTTTATCACTGGTAAAATGCCTTACGATGAAAGTAAAGGAAATTCGGGTGTTTTAGAAGAACAAAGAGCGTTAGACTTCCCATGGCACAAATATAAGAAGGTTACAGATGATAGCAAAGCAGTAGTGATGTGGCTGTTTGCAAATGATTTCAGAACACGACCAACTATTCATGATATCATGGGTTGTCACTGGATTAAAACAGCTCTAAAGATGGAAAGCATACAACACCTAGCTATTGAAGCCGAGAAGAAAGGAAAATTGAGAAAAAAGGAACATCACGAGAAACCAACTGAAAAGAGGACAGCTAGTGAGGGAGCTAATGTCAATGGTAGTGCTTCTTAATCTCTACTTTTATCCGTTCATACTCTTTTACCAATGTTTTGCATGTCTTTAATAACTTCTGTCTGTTTCAATTTTTAATTTGAGATGGGGAATACGAAATTATGTCGAATGAAATTAAGGAACTTTACTTATCAAAATTTATATTTCAAGCCTGAAGTAACTGACAATATTAACGGGCATTTCCCTTTTTTATCAATTTTATAACAGTCTTATTACAATGTTTTTTAGCAGAGGTCTATATTTAAATCTTTTGGGGCTATTTTGAATAAATATTTTTATTTAACGTTTTATATTATGTTTTAGAACTTTTAACAACATGTATATGTATTATGTATCTTATATAATTATTATAAAGTAATTTGGAAATAAATATAATTTTTATAATAAAACCAGTATTCTATTTCAAGCTACTGAATTAGGCTTTACAAGTTCCTTTCCATTCCTTTAGAATGTTTGATCACATCACTCTTAACACCACTTTGTCCTGGAATTAGAGCCTGTCTGTCTTGTAATTTAGTGGGCCTCATTTATTTACTGATTTATCTGACTTCCGACAGTTGAATTGCGGAAAACCGGACAATTGAATGCTTATAGAGTAAACATAAATACTGTAACAGAATATCTAATTCAATGGTAAATAAATAAATTTATTTTCACAATTATTTACAATAAAAAAATCAATGATGATAATAACAAATAATAGATCACAGTTCACAAATAAATACACAGCACCAGTTACCAAAACAATTAAAACTGATTATTTCGTGGGTCGAAAATTTCTTTTGCTTTAAATTATGAAAACTATAAATTAAAATCTGGAGGAATGTGTCCCTTAATCTATATAATATATAAGTTTTAACTTAAAGTATCTTGCCATTAATTTTAAAATGGCAAAGCTTAAACGTAAACATTGTTGCTATATTTTGGGTTGGTGTTTAGAAATATATTTATATGAATAATAATGTATCTAACAATATAATTAACAATGTTTTCAGTAATATAAAATTTGTATACTGCCCCTTTAAAGAATTTCACTTCATCAAATGTTTATTTTTGTCATTGGTTTCACAGTTCGAAACTAATCAAATGTCTTCCCCTTGTTTCAATGTTTGTTTCATTGTTTGTTTCAATGTTTGTGACTTGATTCAATGTCAAGATCTGGTCGCCGATGAAAGACTAGAAGTAGTATATCGACTGGAACGACTGGTATAATGTCCTACACTGCTTCTTGATAAAGCACCTTTTCTACTGGATTTATTTGGAGATTGCTGAAAAGGAACCAAAGATTCATTAAAATAATTGTTATAAATATTTTGTAACAGGTTTCGTCTGATTTATTTTTTCGAGTTAAATATCACATTGGCAACAATTTCTATTAGATATCTGTACTCAAACAATAGATATCAACAATTTAGGTTCCTACCTTATCCTGACAAATCTGGCCCATTACAGTTTTCAGCTTTGTATCAATACCAAAAGCTTTGTCATGATGAGAATTCAAATTAAATGTGTAACACAAATCAGTTTATCACGGTCGAGGAAAAGATAAGGTCAGAGTTGTCGGGCTAGTTCTTAACATACTTTTACTAGGCTTCCTCTCATATGCAGTCACGTGGTATAAGGGAAGCAACTTTTGTTAAATTCAGACCACAACTAACTGACAATAATATGAAATAAATCAATCGTGGAAAAAGATCACCATTCGGTATGTGATTATTTATTAGTTCCTTCATTAGTTTATGTGCAAACACCTTGCACATTTTGGAAAGAAGTAAAATCACATCAAAACAAAACAAACAACAACAAATTATTGAAAAACCTTATTTTTCACAACAAATCTAAATATGTTGGAAGCAATCTGGAATCAACTTTGAAACCCTTTATTTCACTTGTCAATATGATAACGTGTAAAAAACAAATTGTCTTCTTCTGAAGAAAGCTGTTAGCCGAAACACTAAACAACAGGACAATAATATAACTGTAATTGTTTTCAAGTATTATGGGAATTATAATTAATAAAATTAATGGTGAACACTTTGATATTCAAAATTTTTATATTGGGGAGGGATGGGAGACTGCAAAATACTACAAATGTCTCACTTTGGACACGTACTTTTTATTTTTGTCAATATACTTTAAAAAAAATTGCATTCCTAAGCTATTTTAATTTGTCATATTAATTTTTTGTTACATTTGATCAAGAATCACAATGCAAGTTAATAATTCCTGGCCACGTATTCTCAAAACGATCTTAGCTAGGATGTTCTAGAATCAATGTTAGAAGATAAGAACCTAGGGCATCCTAGCGCTAAGATCGTTTGGAGAATACGTGGCCAGGTAATTTGGAGTTATTCCAGTGAAAGTGAAATAAAGGTATGAAAGCATCACTAGGCGTCACTGGATGACATTCAAGCTATATATTAGAAGGCACACAGTGATTGAGAAAGGAGAAATAATGACAAACAACAAACGTTGAATCTACTAATTTACTACCTTCTTCTGGACTAATCTATCCTTTTCAGCTTCTATTTCTAATGAAATATTTAGAATATTATTAACTTAAGAGTAAGTTATGCAAGTCATTTTTTAGAGCCTCAAAATGCGATTTTAGTCGAAAGACTTGCTTGTTTTAATGGTATAATTTCTTGAAGACCAAAACAGTTTACTTTTTGATGAACAGTCATCAGTAAAACAAGAGATATCATTATCTATCACGGTAATATGGACAAGATTGAGTAGGATAAAAATAGGTATAATATACAAACTTACAGATCTAATTTTTTCACCTTTACCAATTGTTCTACCTCCCTAAAATAATACAAAATTTAGCAAATATTGTTTCTATTAATCAAAATTAAAACTAAACTCATTTTCATTTAAGAGAACACTGCTTTAACCCTTTAACTTGTTACCTTTCATCCACCCTTAGACAAATATTGTTACGGTTGGAGATCAGAAATTATTCTTCGCAAAGGACCATTGTGACAGCCATGCTCCAGCTCAGAAATGCAATAATGAGGCAGCTATTGGTTGTTATGGCTTTTTAGACGAACTGATATTTTTTCCAATATACATAACCATTCTATCTATTATTTATCTATAATACAGGTCAGAAAATGCAAAAGCCCATCTTTCATGAAGCTCAAATAGCAATATTTTGCTTAATTTGGCATGGATAAAATATATTACTTACCCTATTATTAGTTGCCCCAAAATTTAAAATATTTCCTTGTTCTTCTTCATAATTATAACTCATGTCTGGAGTTTTAGGTTTTTCTGGTGTATATACCTATAAATGATTTGAATTAAAACAAAATAAATTATTGAATCTGTGCTTGTTCATATTCATATTCACACGAGAATATGTTGGTTTTAAAATATAAAAAGTTACGTTTCTTAAAGGAACACCTGATTCCCCTCCCACACGTAATATCAACCATCCTGGTGTTGTTGGACTAAGTTAAGAGTACTACCAATTGCTTATTTTCCTAATGCAGATATTTGACCTTTGCCTTCATTATCTGACTCTGAACTGAATAATAGTATCTTGATACACAACATGAATAAGACTTACTCTATAAACAGGTAGAGCTCTAAATACAGCACCTTGTCTTTTATCTCCAGTAACAGAACTATTCAAATGATGATTATAGGCCTGTAACATTTCATAATAATACAGAATATTAGTCATATTAATGCATTACCATATTATGGACACTCTGAAATGAATGCTTTTTTATATTTAGCGATTATTGTTTTGAAGAAATTGTATAAATATTTCTAATGCTATTCCATTTTCTAATGCTTGTTCACATAGCAATATTAATGAGTTACCAATTCAGACCACATTTTGAGAAGGAATTTCATTTAATAATAATGACTACCTACCCTGGGTTTAACGAGTGCTTTAAAGAATTTCTTATCTTCTGGTTGTTGTTTGATAGTTTTAGTCCTAATGTAAGCTGAATGACGAAATGGTTGCCACCTAAAAGTCAAATTGATAAAGTCGAATGAGAGAATAGAAAGACTTATTGACTCATTTGATGTAAATGAAAAATATAAATTTTGAAGACTAAAGGAAGATGATCTGGAGCTAAAGGGGGACAATTTTGAAGGCCAAAATTTTGAAGGGAGATAACCTGGAGGCTAAAAAGAGATAATCTGGAGACTAAAGGGATATAATTTGAAGATTAAAGAAGGATAATTTGAAGACTAAAGGAAGATAATATGGAAAGAAAAAAGAGATAATTTGAAGACTTAAGGGAGATAATCTGGAGAGGAAAATGAAATAATCTGATGACTAAAAGGGAGATAATCTGAAGACTAAAGGGAGATAATTTGAAGACTAAAGGGAGATAATATGGAGAGTAAAGGGAGATAATTTGAAAACTAAAGGGAGATATTTAGGTAGGTCTGAATATCACAGATGAAATCAATATTGCAGTTGTGCTACACCTTGTATTGTGAAACATATTTCACTTAATTATCATATTCTTTGTATATACTTGGTTAAATGATAAACATATGCACAGTAATGAAATATTTCTAACCTCGCTTTATCAAAGAAAAGTGGGTATTCAAATTTCTGCACAGGTCGAATCCTTTGTGTTGCACTCTTTTTTCTGCTAGGTGCTACTGGAGGCTGAAATAAATATTTATTAATTCTATTACAGAAGTGCTGGGGCTAAGTCAGTAATAGAATTTTTCATTTAACCAAAATATTTGAAGAAAAAAAGCTTAATTGAAACCAATGCATGTTGCTCAAAATTTTTACTTCTAAATACACATCTAGTTACTTGCTATCAATGTTCTATATAAATATTTATATGTAGATAAATGACTATTCAATGAATCATTTGAACACAGCATAAACTAAATACAGTATCTTTACATCATTGCATCTTAAACATTTACCCAAAATTTTGAATTCTACCTAACACTATCTAGAAGAACTTCATTTGTAATTTTTACAATCTATATCATTTTTAAGATGTTGATAAGATCAATTCATAAAGACATCTAGATATTTATACAATAAGATATCAGAATACAACAATGACTATCAACAACTCACCTCAACTACATCATATGGTAACACTAGAGGTCCTGCAGTTTCTTCTGATACAGGAAAATTAAAAGGACGAGGTTGGCTAAAAAATCCCACAAATCTACCTTTTCTTCCCCACCATACTCTAAAATATATACAACAAACCATTGGTAAAAAGAATATATACAGAAAATAGAGTAAAAGTACGAGTAAATCGAGATAAGTTGAAGACTAAAGGGAGATAATTTGAAGACTAAAATTGGGGATAATTCAAAGGCTAAAGGGAGATAATTTGAAGACTAAAGAGAGATCATTCGAAGACTAAAGGGAGATAATTTGAAGACTAAAGAGAGATAATTTGAGGATTAAAATTGGAGATAATTCGAAGCCTTAAAAGAGATCATTTGAAGACTAAAAGGCAGTCAATTTTGAGACTTAAAGGAGATCTTTCGAAGACTAAAGAGAGATCATTCGAAGACTAAAGGGAAATAATTTGAAGACTAAAGAGAAATCATTCGAAGACTAAAGGGAGATAATTTGAAGACTAAAGAGAGATAATTTGAAGATTCAAGGCAGTTAATTTTGAGACTTAAAGGAGATCATTCGAAGACTAAAGGCAAATAATTTGAAGATTAAAGTGAGATAATTTGAAGATTAAAGACAAACTAATCTAAGTGATAAAATTAACCTACCTAACAGAACCATCAACTGAGGCTGATACTATAGCACTAATATTATCTATATATACAAGTGACACAACTTTAGCTAAATGTCCTCTCCAACCTAGAACCTGTTTTATCAAATCCTGAAATTGAAACCCAGGAATCTATTTTATTGCCAATTGTGCTGTAGGTCATATCTAAAAATGGAAGATTGGCCTTAAAAAGTCTTTAAATGGGCAATCTCTTTTATATGGAAACTTAAATCAATTTTCTAAATGATCTACTGAGTTTTGATTGATTTACTGTTCATGATTTGGAACAGTTTATTTGATAAAGTATTATTAAAATTAAGGAATTTATTTACTTACATATTCTTCAGATTCTGGTTCTTCTAAAAATGCACCAATATCCCACAGTGTCAGGTAACCATCTGTTTTTAGGAAAAAATAGAAGATCTAATATAATTTCTATAAGATATATTCAGAGCCACTATCTAGGATTTTTTAGGGATAAGGAGAGCAAAAATTAGTAACAATAGGAATCATATAGTGATAATAAGAATAACATATAGCAGAAATAACTTACTTTGATCACCAGTGACCATTATATTACAATCTTCATCACAACATACAGTTGTTATAGGTATACCTTGCCTTTTACTTAATGGTGATATTTCTCTTAATAAATCACCCTAAAAATAACAATGACTTTTACTTAATGGTGATATTTCTCTTAATAAATCACCCTAAAAATAACAATAACTTTTACTTAATGGTGATATTTCTCTTAATAAATCACCCTAAAATAACAATGACTTTTACTTAATGGTGATATTTCTCTTAATAAATCACCCTAAAAATAACAATGATTTTTACTAAATGGTGATATTTCTCTTAATAAATCACCCTAAAAATAACAATAACTTTTACTTAATGGTGATATTTCTCTTAATAAATCACCCTAGATATAACAAAAACTTTTACTTAATGGTGATATTTCTCTTAATAAATCACCCTAGAAATAACAATAACTATTACTTATTGGTGATATTTCTCTTAATAAATCACTCTAAAAATGGCAATAGCTTTTACTTAATGGTGATATTTCTCTTAATAAATCACCCTAGAAATAACAATAACTATTACTTATTGGTGATATTTCTCTTAATAAATCACCCTAAAAATAACAATAACTTTTACTTAATGGTGATATTTCTCTTAATAAATCACCCTAGATATAACAAAAACTTTTACTTAATGGTGATATTTCTCTTAATAAATCACCCTAGAAATAACAATAACTATTACTTATTGGTGATATTTCTCTTAATAAATCACTCTAAAAATGGCAATAGCTTTTACTTAATGGTGATATTTCTCTTAATAAATCACCCTAGAAATAACAATAACTATTACTTATTGGTGATATTTCTCTTAATAAATCACTCTAAAAATGGCAATGGCTTTTACTTAATGATGATATTTCTCTTAATAAATCACCCTAGAAATAACAATAACTATTACTTATTGGTGATATTTCTCTTAATAAATCACTCTAAAAATGGCAATAGCTTTTACTTAATGATGATATTTCTCTTAATAAATCACCCTAGAAATAACTTAATGGTATCTCTTTATATATCACTCTAAAAATCACAATAACTTCAGAAATCACATTTAGTTGATGGTGATATTTCTCTTGATAAATCACCCTAAAATTGCAATATAATAATATTATGTCCTTTTGTTCTGCAGTTCATTGGAAAAGTGCTAAAAGAGTCTGTAGCACACTAGAACTTAATAATAATAAGTAATCAAAAATTCATGTAGAGGTTATCTGAATGGTATTCAACATCTATGGAATTTTGAAGATGTCAAAAGCCGGTATAGTTATGCTGGTATTTTAGGATTTGCAGTCTAGTTAGGTTTCTACACCTATAATTATGTAACAAAAATACTCACATTTAATGTCCAGAATCTGATATAGGAATCTTGGTGTGTTGAGACTAGTATAGGTTCATATTTAGCTACTATTATTTTATCCTCTAACAGTGAATCATGAAAATCTACTTTCTTTTTTTGATCTTCACCTTGTTTTCTTGGAGATGGTGTTTCTACAGGTAATAAAAGAAAGTCGTAAATTTCAATGATCTGAATATTAATTCATTCTAGAATTCTCGAAAATGTTGTTATATGAATTGGTATATTTCTGAGGAAAAAGACGAGATATACTTTACTTAAGAGAAACATAAATCAAACAAATTTGAACTGTTTCACACAGACAAAGCTCAGTATTTGAGGCAGTAAAACTTATTTACCAGTTAATGCTTGAGTTTGTTGAGAATTAGACACTTCATTGGTATTCTTTATTTTGTCTGGAGAATCTCCAGAAACTTTAGTATTTTCATTAGAGGTACTTCTTGGTTCCTTGAAAATCAAAAAGTATTCTTTTTAAGATTTTCAATATTTTTATACTATTCCACAATAAATTGCTAGCAAAAAGTTTTAAATCATATTTATGCCAAAAAAAATTAACTGTTTGCTAGTATTGTTTATAAAGAAAAAGAAAAAGAAGTATTTACCTGGTTGGTTGGTGTGTGATGATTATTTACACTAGTTGTATGGTGAACATCACTTCCTGTATTTTCATCATTTGATCTTTAATAAATAAATTAATAAATAATCTTAATAGTCAAGACATATATGTTGAAGAAGAATCCCCAAAATAACTTGACTCAAATAACTCCTGGCAGATGTCTCTTATTTGATTGTTTGCTACAAGTTGGTAAATGTTTGATATCTCAAGGAAAGGCTTTAGTTTCAGGTAACATCCTACCATTAAGATTTAAAATGCTATATATTTACTTGGAATTAACTAAATCAGATCTGCGAACAGTTCTTATCAAAACTTGAACACTGTGGACAGCATGATCTCCATTTAATTTAGATCTCTTACTTTGACCATTATTTATATCTATTGGAAGCTCAAATCTGGAAAAATAATAAACTCTATATAATATACATGTGTAATTGACAGATATTGTGGCATGTTGTCCACAGCTACCAACGGGATGCCCAATTAAACCAATTTCATGTTTTTTTCCTAACCAAATATATACTGGACCTACAGTTTTCAAATTGTCAACCATAAATCAAAAAAGAAAATTTAGAAAGTAAACAAAATTTGAAGCTTACATTTTTTCTACAACAGATTTATCTAAATCCCAGAGTACTAGATTACCATTACTACAACCAGTTATAAATAAACTCTCTGATATATTGGTCATACAGGTTATATTGTGAGTATTGTATATCATTTCCTGTAATAAACAAACTCTCTGATATATTGGTCATACAGGTAATATTGGGAGTATTGTATATCATTTCCATTAATAAATAACCTCTCTGATATATTGGTCATACAGGTTATATTGTGAGTATTGTATATCATTTCCTGTAATAAATAACCTCTCTGATATATTGGTCATACAAGTTATATTGTGAGTATTGTATATCATTTCCTGTAATAAATAACCTCTCTGATATATTGGTCATACAGGTTATATTGGGAGTATTGTATATCATTTCCATTAATAAATAACCTCTCTGATATATTGGTCATACAGGTTATATTGTGAGTATTGTATATCATTTCCTGTAATAAATAAACTCTCTGATATATTGGTCATACAGGTAATATTGTGAGTATTGTATATCATTTCCATTAATAAATAACCTCTCTGATATATTGGTCATACAGGTAATATTGGGAGTATTGTATATCATTTCCATTAATAAATAAACTCTCTGATATATTGGTCATACAGGTTATATTGGAAGTATTGTATATCATTTCCTGTAATAAATAAACTCTCTGATATATTGGTCATACAGGTTATATTGTGAGTATTGTATATCATTTCCTGTAATAAAAAACCCTCTGATATTTTGGTTATACTATGACTCTATGTAAGTATAAAGATTTTAGACATACCTTTTTCATGATGTTAGTGATTTGAGGGTTTGAGTTGCCTATATTAGGTAATATAGATCTATTGTTAAACTCAGTAGAAGATACAGTCTCACTCATATCTCTAGACAAATAGTATATATCACTGAATACTTGTATAAATTCTATTTTACCACAATCACCACTGTCCTATAAACAGATGAATTTTCATTATGGTCATGTAAATGTCATTTATTGGGTCTAATATTATAAATATATTTAAATAATTCTACTGTTCTATGCTCTAATATAAAATTGCAACAGCAATAACGTACAGAACTCAATATTTCAACTTTGAGAGTTTCATAACAAATGTGCATTTATATGATGGCAAAGAAAAATTTACAATGCAACTTAGCATCATAATCTTCAACTTGCTTATTGGTTGAAAATAAAGGCTATGCTTTTAAAATCATGCCCATTATCTACTCAAAATGCCTTTTATATGGACAAATTTTTAAATTTAAGAAAGATAATAAGCTATATACACATACCAAATAGATTTGATTACACTTTAAAAGAGAAACTTACAGAAAATATTTTGATTTTATTATCAAAACCAGAAGCTATAATAAGATGATCATCATCTTGTCCAAATTTAAAATAAACTAAACCATTAATACTGTGATCTTCTTCACCACCCCCAGTTCCTTCTTTACCTTTTATCTCTTGTCCTGATCCAAAATCCCACACTTTTATAGATCCTGAATACATAAAAACAATGACTTAGTTAGTGTTCTATCTGGTATAACTCAACTCAGCAGTTTTTTTTTTTTGTTTCATAACATTTTATGGGTTACTTTAGTCATTCCATAACCTCTGTATATCAAACACAGAAGTAAGTCTTAACTTAGGTGAAAACTTTGATTAGGAGCATAACATGTACATGTTCTGCATAAATTCATTCTGTCATTTAATGTCTGAAATATTTCTTCTGGATAGTAATTGCATAATTCTGGAAAACCTGATATCACTCTGTGAAGTGGAGAATCTGCCACATTTAATAATGTCATTTTGGGAACTAAACTACCAAGAATTTCAGAAAATCTGAAAAGTTTCAGTTAATAACCTACCATCATAACCTCCTGTGACTAATCTATAGCCTGTTTTATCTAATGTCATACTAGTTAATTCTATACCAGTACCATGTGAATCAGTTATAGTATGTACTAATTTACCACTTTCTATTTCCCATACTTTAATAACTGACTCAGTACAAACTGATACAATCTGGTTTAATTCTTTATTATATAATATCTGAAAATACAATAATAAAAAAATACCTTCATTGTGAAAACAACAGAGGATATAGACAACTTTCAAAATGGAACTGGAGGTATCTTACGGCTTAGTCTCAGGCATGGTTGCTTTGTCACGAAAGGCATTGAGATTTTTTCACAGTAAATAATTCAGAATTGTTCTACTGGTAATATGGATGTGTCTATTTGACTCATCCTTACAACATACCTGAGTTACTGGCCTATCATGTGTATGTGGTACCTGCATTGTATCTTGCACAGATCTTGTTAATGGCCAAGCATCTATTACACTTGATCCTACAAAAAAAAATACATGATATCAGTAACCTTAAATCAATAACATAAATTGACGAAATATCTTAATACATGATATTCAGAAACGATCAGACTAAAGAAAATACTAAAGGTGATTGGTACCTGTGACTAATTTTTCATGTTTATTATCAAAAATCATAGAATAGATTCGCTTTTCACCAGGTCTCTCTTCATTATCAGTAAAAACCTGGAATATAGTATGATCACCATTATTATTACTATACGTCTATCTCTTAAAGATACAACAGAAAATTGCTCAGGTATTATGTAAGTACATGTAAACAGCACTTGACCTCACACTTGTCTTACTTCCATATCATGGTAAAATAGTACTCAATGCATCAATATTTAAACATGTTTCAGGTTCTGTTTTAATATTTATTATCTTACATTATATATGAAAAAAATTTGTATTGTCCATTTTCAATTTTGTATCATTCTATTAGAAATATTGTTACTCAGAGTTTTACACTGTGTGATCTTCAGACAATTATTATTCAAAATATTGATAGGAAATATAGAAGCACTATAACTAACCTGAAGACATGTTAAAGTATGAATATCCCAGATCCTAAAAACTCTAGCAGTAGATAAACTAATTAAATGTTGATCTTTTTGATTACATACTATTTCTACTATAGTAAATAAATGGCCTAATAATTTGCCTGAAATATACAGCACAAAGAAGGCGATAAACTTAAATCTCTTTATAATTATAGTATTTCAAATGAATTCAGTTGAAACAGGTTATGCCAATTGACTTTTAAAAACAATATTAATATCTCAAGCCACAGACCAAAGTATAAAAACATGCTCTTAGTCCTGTACAGTGAGCTCGCTCTCTTTGCAAAGTTAACACCCATTTTTTGTTCCAAACATGTGATATGAGCTTTAGTTCACAAGAATATATCTAGCTTTGATGTACTTTGCTGAAGATGCCCATTCTTACTTTAAAACATAAAGGATAAGATGAACGAACAAGGAGTTGTCCAGTTAAGTTGGGCAAGTATAGCTGAGACTTTAGCTTAAACTGTATAGTGTAATTGTTTGGATGCAACAGAGATTAACACATATATATATAATAACAACTGATAGAGATCTGAAAAGTTTAACAGTAAGTTTTACCTGTTGGTCTTGACCAGATATGAGGATGCCAAACTCTAATGATTTTATCAACACCACCAGTAGCTATAATATTAGCTCGAACACAGTAATCAAATGCATTAACACCTTTACTTAAACTAACACTTCTTACTTCACTGTAAAATAACACAAGCAATACCATTAATCAATGTTTTGATCACATTTATTGATACAAAAAATTATAAGAAAAATATCTTACAGAAAGTAAAATTCATAATTGTCTCAAAATCTTATTCATATTTATGATATTTCAAAAAACATGAAAATTGATATCTACTAGCTCATTAAGTTGTACATGATAGCTCAAATGATAATTCAAATGTACAAATAGCTTAAATGATAATTCAAACATATAATAATTCTAGTAATAATTCAAATCAACAAGATAGTTCAAATTGATTACATTGCATCGCATCTCTACTGTTTTTCTGATCTGGACAATAACTTCTAAATTTTGAGGTTAATTCCCAATATAAGACTTAATGCGTATGGCCAATTAAACAAACTCACTGAACAGGATTCAAATTTTCACTGATAGATTTGTTCAAATAAAAATTCCATATTATCACCATGTAATTCAAGTGATAATTCTAAGACAGTTGACTGATTGAGATGATAGAGAATGTTGAATAGAAACAATATAATTACCCATTATCAGAAAGTCTTTCAAGTTCTTCTAAAACAAATGATTGATTACTACTTGGTGAACATGAACCAAAACATCTTAAATCAGGAAAATATTTCACCTAAAATAGAAAAATAAAGTTTGCATTTGTTTCACCAAAATCTTGTTTTGCATTTTCGGCTTTTGTTCGTGTTGTTTGGTTGCTCGGTTCATATTGTTAGTGCTTGGTTTATTTATTTAGACTTTCTGGTGCTTCATAAAACTTAGATAAAAAAAAAAACTAGAAATATATAGTAAATACAATATTAGCTATCCAAAAAGGATGTCAAGATGACAAAACAGTTGCAGAATGACATCAGGTTTTCCAGAAGGATGAGCATGCCCTGTCTTGATAACAGCATTTATGATAAATGACCCCCTAATTGAAATTATTTAACATAGATTCAGCGAGCACAAAGAAGGGTTGAAAAATGACCACAAGGGCAGCCTGTCCATAGGAAGAATATGGCTGTAAATGTTCAAAATCTTTAAAAAATCACCTTTAAAACCCAATCATCATGTAATTTTCTTCTTACAACTGGACTGAAAGATAAAATTATACAAATATAACTAAATAAGAACACCTTTTTTACTGAGTATTTTCATTAAAAAAACATTGTGGTACAAATAACAGACATAAAGGAATTCCAATGTGTCATTTACAACAGAAGGCATCAAATTATTATTATTATTGTTTCAAACTGACTCAATGTCTCAAATTTTCATTCTTAATTCTTACTTGGCCATTTTATGAGGTTCTATAACATAGCTGGGAGAATTTTTCTTATCTCCTTTGCCATTCTTCATTGTAAGATCTTTAGCTGCTACTATCATCAGATTGATATAGCCCTGATCATCACCATATAGTATTGTATCTTCATGAGGTCCAGTGGTACGTGGTAAATATATCATACATTGTGGTGAATGTTCTATTGGTTTGATTATAAACACATTCTGAAATAATAACTTTAATACTTTAACCAGATCAGAATATAAAACATTGTGTTCACTGGGTAACCATGCTTTACAATCATTATAGTTGACTAGAGCTCATCTTATGATGCCGACATTTGTTTCAGTTATAAAATCAGTGCCAGGATACATTACAGGACTTTTCTATTGAATATTTGAATAATAACAAACAAAATTTTATTCAGAAACCACAATTATCATGAGGTATTATGGTTATTTTCAGTTCTATTATAACAACCTATCATTATAATAGATACTTACTTCACCCTTGCCTTTAGATCTATTATCCCAGATAGCTATAGATCTTTCTGTACATACAGCAACTCTTCTTATAGAAGGTAAATAATCACATCCTGTCACCCAGACTGATTCCTATTGAATAAAAATAGATTTCTCAAATTATCTCCCTTTAGTCTTCAGAATATATACTAAAATTCTGATTTCACAATGATGCCAGGTTACTTGGATGATAGATATAGACTTGTAATTCCAGAGATAAAATAGGTCAAAACACTTGTCTGTGATACTAACAAGAAAATGTATGATCAATCAATAGGATTGTTTGATGCAAGCAAATTATCTCCCTTTAGTCTTCGAACTTTGTAGATATAAAAATAGGTTGAATTCATTTTCAGTGCTTAACACAGTTCACAATATAAGCGTAGTTTTATAGTTTTAAAAGCTTGAGGAATCCGACTGTGTATCACATAACATAATCAATTTTCATTTTGAAATTTTGAATTATCTCCCTTTAGTCTCCAAGTAAGATTTAGTAAAAAAAATATCATACATTTATTTCTACACAGGCTTGCAGACGTAACTGAAAATAAAACAGATTACCAAATTAAACACAAATATAATATCAATTTTTGGTATTATGTATTATAATAGCCCATTTCAGCAAAATTTTCCAACTCAGCGCCCATGATCATGGACCATCAACACTGCAGGCTATGCATTTTAGCTATGCTAATACACTAACACAAATATTCCTAGTTCTAAGTACTTTAGAAATGATTAGTATAGGGGATGTGCCATGGAGTCATCAGTGATAATAGTAGCCTACATGAAAAAAGGTCCTCTAACCTTGCTACTCCACACAGAAACGGCTCCTTTCTGAGAAGCTATGATATAAGAATCTATAGCTGGTGAATACTTAATACTCTGTACACAATCTCTTCTCTTTTTATCACCTATAATATTTCAATCACAAACTGATATCAAATTAGAGATTTCTATCTCATATTGATGGACTGTTAATAGTTGACCTTGACCTGAGCACAGTAAGCACAGATTGCGCCACAGTCTGCATCCATTCTATTCTGACCACAATCGAACGAAATGGTGTTAAGCGTTGAGTAATGTGCTTGCTAGGCGGACATTTTGTCTGTTGCAATCCATTAATGGATTAAAGTGTACCAATGAGACACCACAATATCTGATTAAAAAAGGGAATCAATAAAAAAAAGCTTGTGGAAAATACCAGGGCGTCTTCTTTTAGAATATCAAATTGGATACAGTGTCCAAAACGTGTAGTTTACCTGCAGCATCTCCAACTCTCCTTCGCTTAGAAACCATAAAAACACTGACTTCTTCTCCAACAATAATCTCTTCTTCTTCTACAGCAGATTGGAAATATCCGAACAGCTGCAATAAACAATAACAAGTGTACGTCTGTCTAGCAAACAAAACTGTGGGCTCGTGACATGTCTATTAAATAAAACATGCTGTTATGTAGATGTACAACAAAACTAAATCTGTAAATTTATTAAAAATATAACATATCTTACCTCGCTCCAGTCAACTTTGGCATCTGGATTCGTAGAGATTTTTCTATAAGTTGCTTTGAGATCTTGATTTTTGATATCAGCTCCAAATATCTCACGTATCTTCTCACAGAACTGATCATAGCGAACATTTTCTAGAATAGTATAATTATGATATATGTATTATGGAACAAGTGTCCGATATTTTGCAATAAATCTTTTAGAAGGCTATCAAGTATTGTTAAAAATATTTTAGAGTGTTACCTTTTGGAACGTTATAAAGTATTGTAATACATCTTTGTATTTAATCTTATAGAAGGTTTTTGTAATTAATCTTTTAGAAATCTATCAAGTATTGTAATGTATTTTAAAAAGGGTGTCATTTAATGTAAAAAATCTTATAGACGGTTATCGTTTAGAAGTTTAAACTATTGTAATATAGCTCTCATAAGATTAACAAGCATTGCAATAAATCTTTCAAGATTACTATCAAGTATTGTAATGAATCTTTTAAAAAGTAGATAGTTGTGAAGTATTGTAATATATTTTATAACAGGTTCTATAGAAGGTGTTATGTGGGACCGGTAGAAGTTTGGTTCAAGTATTGTAATTAAAATTAATTGAAAGATAAATTATGTGTTCTTAGGAAGAAATTATCAAACTAATAATACATGGTATTTGGTCTTCATCTGTAGAATATAAAGGGATCTCGCGTGCCTCTTGTTTGATTTAAGATAAAATATCATTGTATACATGTGAGTAAGTTTGGTATGTTAATACAGAGTATATATATATATATATATTAAATTACTTGATCAATATTGACTTCTATTTTTTACAGGTTTATAAACAAATATTTTTGTTGGTTCACCTTCAATTAAAATCTTATTTTTAAGTTATATTTCTGAATATTGTATTGAATTAAGATGTGTTACAGCAAGATATTTAGTGAACACGACTGTGAAATGCCTTTTTAAAATGAAAAAGTTCAGTTACCATTTTGGCTTTGAAAAACATTTATTTTTTTAGCAGTTCTAAAGTAAGTTATGGATTTTATGTGGCTTTGGTACAAAAATGTGGCTTGACACACGACAAGAAAGAATTTGATATTACTGTCAGTGTATCGGGGGAACTTTCTGTTTGAATATACTTTCTTCATTTCTATCCCCCTTTGAGTAAAATTTCGAATATCAGCAGCTTTTTTCTGGAGAAATACTCACCTGTGATCATGTGACGTCGTTCCTCAGCTGTGGCTTCAGCATCTTGATAGGTCAAATCTCTTATTAAATCCTCAAACTGATTTAAACGCATCTGAAATGTGCCATTAGTAAATGGTCGCGATAGACCAGCACGTACTCCTATTTCCGACATTTTTACTCTAGATTTCAGCACTGTTCACTCTACATTTTCAAAATAATACCCCTTTAACACAAAACAGTTAAAATCACAAACTACTTTTAGCAAGCATGAGTTAATTCGTATAACGGTAATATAAACACGAAGACCAACATAATGACCGTATTCTCATTGAAAAGTAGGATTTAGCGACCTAGCAACCAACTTTAATCACCTCACTACATTACCTGTTTTAGCAGACGACAGAATGAGATTAAAGGTCTTGATAAATCAATTTAATATTGATTACATGAAATCTAATCTTGTCTCAAACCTTGATTTCTTCTTTTCTTTATCCACACTATCTTATTTTTTCTTATCGTCAACATTTTATTTTTAAATTAACTGATCTGATTATATACAATAACAGAATAAAATATCCTTACTTCGGATTTTCATTGATATATTTCTTAAGGTCAATAGATAAACTAACGCTCAATCAAATATCAGTGTAATTATTTTAAAACATATCTTTTATCCAAATAACAATCCTCAATGCTCAAAGTTGAACAAAATACAATAATCTATTGGTTTATGTACATGGTTGATTTGATAATGCTATGTGTATGAGAACAATGTACAATGTTGTACTATATGGATATACTTTTTGTTATAAGAAATTCGACACGACGAGTTGGTATCTATTGTCACACGTGAATAGTGGATCATATTATTAAGCAGGTGAACATTATGTATGAGACGTTTTGTAAGCGACAATAGATCTTCCACGATAAGAAACGATAAACAATACGAATATTAATCAAAGAATATAGTCACAGAAATGTATAGTAGTCTGTAGTCATGCCATGGTCGGCGTTACCTCCCATTGATAAGGTGAACTTTTATACCAAATTTCCCCATTTTTGCGATTTTTGTTACAGATTCTATTCATATTTGGTCTGAGGGTTTGGTATTGATGCAAAGATAATACTTACCGATTTTATGTACAGATTCTCAGTGTTGAACAGGCACTATCCCGTAATCACTCTACAGATTACAATTTTGTTGGATTACTTCCATTATTGGTTGGTTTGTATGTCAATTTTCGTGATTATCGGGCGATTTTTAACAGATTTCAAAATTCAACTGTGAGGACTTCAAGGGTATAATCATCTCGTCTCAATCTACAGACAACAATTTTAATGTTTCGTTTCAATTTTACAGTGTGTTTATACTCAAGTATTCTGAAAATACAAGTTGCTGAGCTAGACAAGAAGGGTAAAAGTTAAGCAACCGTCCAAGGAATTACCTCTGGGTATGAATGTACGTTTGAGTATAGAACCATCCAGGCATTCTAATCTATTTTAAGTATACGTTTGCATATAAACGGTTGTGCTCTTTCAAGGATATTCATTATTTTCTGTAAAATACTTCTTTTCAGTCAACGTACTAATTGCTTTGAGTTTGATTTAACCATTGCGAATGGTGAGGTACAGTTGAAAATTATCTGAGAGATCTACAGGAAGACGCAGTTTGACTCAAAGTTTAACCCCAAACTTACGACAGAATAAAACTAATTGTGGTGAAATTCATTTTGGAATGTAGCCTTATTATAGCTTTTAACATGAAATATCAACCTAATTAGAATTAGAATCCAATTTGGCATCTTTTTCGTTTTGTGGTATTTTTTTCTCAATGGTAATCTGATAAGTTTTCTACCAAATCGCCGCACAAAGGTAACATTTTTAACCAATCAAAGCGTGTCACGCTATCTATCTGTAGTTTCTTGATATAGAAAGGGATTGTGATAATATATGATTCTCAGATTTATTTAATCTTAAGTCTTTCATATTATTTAACTACCCAGTTACAAATTTGCGATAAGAATTTTTATTATTGGATAGTAATAAACAAGTTGAACTTAAACCTTTTTTCATACTTAATCTTTTTATTAGTACAACGGCCCTTCTTAATAAAATGAAGTGTTCTTATAAGGCTTACACAGATATTAACACACTACTGTGTGGTTGGGCTACTATAATATTGATAAGGGTGGGTAGGAATTACAGCTAGACCTACTGCTAGTTTACTTTGTCGCTATGGCACTGCCCTCAATTGACAGCTCTATTCATTGATTTATATAGTGTACAAACGAAATAGAGTATTGTCGACATGTTCAACTGACGAAGTCTATACTTGTTATTATCCAGGCGATAATATATTGATATCAGATAATTATAAATATCGTGATATAATTAGGGATTAGTGATATAACTTTTGTTATTATCGCATACAAGGTATGTAGTATCATGTATGTTATCCTTTCTTATCACTGAGATGCAAATTATTAGCTAAACTACCAAGATGTTAATCGATTTTACGTGCGAGATTTCTGATAAAATATTCTTTAATTACTTGAGTACCGGAAAGTCCTGCTGTGGGTTCATTTTCAATAGTTTGTGCCAGAACTCTCTTAATTACAATGATTATAATAATGATGATTGACATGTAACAAAACAATATTTACATTTACATAGCAATTTAAAACTTTAATTAAAATATAATTTACTATGGCTCGTTTCATTCTCATCCTCATCAGAACATCTAGTTTTGGAAATAAGCGTTAACCTTCAAAATTTAAACTGTATGACCAAAGAAAGCAAATTCACTGAAAGTCGAAATTTACAAGAACATTCTACAGTCCGAAAAGACTCATATATCTCACATGAGTTCGTCTCATGGTACCGACAAGTGTTTCTACATCATCTCTGATGCGATGAAATGGTATGAAATGAGTTAAAATCACACAACAACTGATTTTCTATGCCAAATTCATAATTCTGGTTAACTATACCACGACTTTTACCAATTATTAGTATGTCAGGTCGGTAACCTTGGTTGACAATGACAATATTACCAATCTTTACACCTCTGTAAATTGTCATATTATGTCACATTTACACATGTTTGAAACTGATTTCTTTATTATGATTTTGTTTAAGAAATTGTGATTTTGTCGAAGTATTAGTTTGTTGGTTGAATTATGATATGTAACCATTCCTTCAGTAATTTTTAGATGTTTGTAAAACTATAAGTGGGCTTGATATACACCGTATACGTTTTTGGAAATCTATTTCAGATCAGGAGTAAATCAAAATGATGCCTCGACATGAACATGAGAGGGCATATAAACTGCACCGACAAAAGGTAACTATTTCGGGATATAATGCTAATGATTTGACATATTAGAGTACCCTAATCAATCTATTGTTACAGATTCACAAAAATATAGAAAGCTGCAAGCCCATTGACAAATCCTACTGATATGACATAGTGGAACGTTGCCTTGAATTTGCAAACCTTTTTTTGCTATGGCGCGAGTGCCATCAAATGGTTTTCAGAAAAAATCTTGCGTAGAGTTACCATCTAGAAAAGTTACAAGAGATATAGATAGAGATGGTTACTGAGTCACAGAAAGCACTAGGAAAAGAAAATGATATACAAAATGATATGCTAAGAAATATTATTCATATACAAACCTAGGTCAAAGAGAATTGTTTACGACTGTTTAGAGTGCATAACAGTAAAGATAAAGGCGTTTTATTTATCTTGCATATTCCCATTAGGTCCTCATTTATCACCTGTATAATATTTGTCAGATCTCTATAGCTACTGTCTAACCTTTATTATTAAGTAGCTTTCAACAGTCACCAGCTTAAAGTGGTTTATCAATTAGTGATAAGATAGGCGAGAAGAATATATAACGATAGGGTTCTATTTGCTATATTTGCATGACGTGACATAGATCATGGATATGTCATGTACTATTTGTACTAATGTCATTCATAAGATCTGTTTCTATATTCTTTTCAATTGACTTTTATTTATCTTAATGATATCTTTAGTAAAGCAAAGATATTTATGCATATCCGGGACGATTCATAACACTTACAATATGAGTAATTAAAGTGGTAATGGACACAATGTGGGTCGCCTTGTAAAGTTTCAATTACTATCTATTTACAGAATACAGACAGGTTATGTTTGCGTTTCTTGTACTTTTCTATGCACGAAATAAGAAGATCTCGCCAATAACGCTACAGAGATTGAAAGTTCAGGTTGATTTATGTATATATTATTAATGCAATATACATATTTTATTAATCCCCTTTATATTGTTATGTTTTACAGCTTGAAATGATCAAACCCAGCTTAGACAACAATACACCAAAACAATATTCACATTTAGTATATAGAAGTAAAAGTATTCGGGTAAGAACAATATAAAACTGTAATGTATGTATTATATATTACTTTCCATTTCCTTTTCATTGGTAATCAATCTAATGAATCAGATCTAGATGTTTTGTTTCGTACATTTTTCTGAGGGCTGATTCGCCCGCCATCCAAGATCGACGAAAATTCGTACTAGATGGGACACAGAATTGTGATTCAGGAATTTAAGAAAGGAGCTTTAAGTGTCCCAATGCACAAACAACTTGTTTGCAATCCTTTTTATCAATGTAATTAGCCCAGTTAAGCCAGAATGTTTTTTTTTGGGTAAAAAGCACACTTTGTCAAAGCTATTTTATTAGCTTACTCATTTTTATCATAGCCTGATTTCTTATACAAGATCTTTAACTTGAATAATATTGATTACTAGTAATGTTAAATAATGAACAAGCCCAGCAATAAATGTAGACAATATCTCTACTCGCCATGTTTATTCTCTATATTGAATGTCAACAGTTAGGTTTTTTACGGTTGTCAATGTAAACATTAGATTACATGTTATTGTTTATCAATGGCGTCAATCAATCAATCATGGCTTTTATACCTTCGATTACTATAGAATAAATCTCACAAATATATTAAAAGGTGTTATCCTTTATTTTCTGATTTTACCAGACGTTTTGAGTTCAAGATTGAGATGGTTACCCTAAAATTCTTCTGAACTGATTGACCTTTACGACAAATGATAAGCCTTCTCACATCAAAATAAATCAGGTCTTGTTTGAGATATAGGAAATCAATAT